TTTGTGCCATAATTGAACTGAAGCTAATTTAGTTTCATTTGATCAAAAACATTGACTAAAAAAATCTTCATTGTAGATAAACCAGGTAGGATGAAAACAGTTTTCAAACTTTACTCTGCTGCACAGACTGTTTATCAAAACTCCTTTACAGTAAATTGGAGGTCTGTTGTGTTCTAATTATTTATTTAATAATTCTGATGCTCCAGAGCATTACCACAGGCCAATCAAAAAGCCCATTCCAAACAGGCAGGTTAGGTACGGGGACTACACTAGTTAATATAAAACATTAATGGATTAAAAATGAATGATGCTCTTACAAATATTATCTTGTTTGAAGTTGGTGGTGTCCTGTTGATGTCTGTCTGTTCATGGTGGTCTCTGGGGGAAATGCTTTTGTACCAAAAGGTTTTTTTTGGTGGCAGTACAGCAGTGGACCACTTTGGCAAATTGGCGGCTAGACTGAGTAATGCTGACACTCAGATCCAAACCATATAGCAAGTATGTCACAATTTTCACTCTTTCCAGCATGTGTATAATGGAATATATCATATTGAAGTGTATTTCATATCTAGGTCCCTACTAGAGATTAAATTGTCACTCTCTTTCTTCCTGTACTTGTTCCCTTGTACTTATCAAGGTGTGAGCTCTTCATCAGAACCTAATATCTACTAAATATTTCCACTGTAAATTGCAGGATATATGTAAATCTAGAGCATTATTCTTTAGATTCTTATTAAATATGAATTATGTCTCACAAGTGTGTGAGCTTCTGGTTCTATAATACCAGCAACAAAAATGAATTCCACACTTAAAAAAGAGATCCTTTAAAACAATTTACTTAGTACCAATAACATATCCAGACTAAAAGGTGCTAAGCTAAAACAAATAAAAGACAGCCACTTAAAAATAATAAAAACTTAATGAATAAATCAAAAAATAGATGTGTCTGTCCTCCCTATCTCTTCTGTCGTCCTTTTCCTTCCCCTGTACCTGTCTTCACCCAGTACACCGTGCTGTGTCGACCAACCCTGAACCGTGTGAGGTATGGTCCAGTTTGTCATCACTTTGATCCCTTATCCAAATAAACATGCAGTGTAAAAACGACTAAAACCATGCAACACACATCAACACCAATAAAACCAAATGTAAAAAATATATAACTACTAATAAAATCGAAACATTTAAAATCATTAAAAAAATCCTAAAAAACATGGCTTAAAAGAATGTCCCACCTCGACAATGACATAATTAGACATGCTGCATGGTTCAAATTAAAAATGATACCCTAGCTGACCTGTCATCTGAGCCCACCTCCCCCTCTTCCTCTCCCAGCGTCCAGCAGCTGGTTCACACTGCTGCTGCTGGTCGTTCTATTAGAGTTAAAGGTCAGAGCTGAGAACAAGCAAGCTGCCTGGACTGTCACTGATGAGGGTCAGGACTCATTGCAGGAAGGTGGCTGCTGGATTTGTCTGTGCAGTAAAGTGAAAAAGCACGGAGCAGAGCACCAGTGTCATTTTTTTCTATTGGTGTGTTTGCAGATCGATTTCATGGAAATGGCAGAATCCCTATATGCCTCACCCTGCTCACCTTGAGTTACTATGATGCATTAAAGCTGCAGCTGATGTGACATCAGTAAATTACTCAGACACAACATGGCAGTTATTCATGAAAACTGTATCTCTCCCTGTGTCCGTCACCTGACAACGTCTCTGTTAGATGACGCACAACAGAAAGACAAGGATCTGCAGGAAAACATTCCTGTGAGGCCCTTTACCAATACAAATAAATATTATAAATCTAAAGGGACATTTCCTCAATGATGCTTTTGGCAAGACAGAAAACAGACACATGAAAAGTCACAACAGTTTATTTTGCAACAGAGAAAAGATTTCGAAAAATGTTGCCACATCTATGAGTGAGCATCTTACTGCAGATTTGAAGATACTTAACATTCAACAAAGGGACCAACCTGTCATCATCATATACAATATATGTGATCATACTGATGAGCTGTAATGTATATTGAAGAATCAGTCAATATTATACATATGATACATTTAAATATGAATTATATTTCTTTCTGTCACTTAAATATATTATGCAGCACATTTTATTCATCCACTTCTCAAGATCAGTTGTTGTTCTTTGTCGAAACAAGATCACATGCAGTGAAATAGAAGTAACGTCATTAATTCAAATAATGTGTCCAGTTAATGATTCTTCTCAATATTTGTCTTTCCAACAAAATAACTTAATCCATGCTTTGCTGCGGATTCCAAATAAAGATGAACCCTGGAAACAAATGTAGAATACAAAACACGAGAGGTACAGTTCATGCTCTGGAGATCATGCATGCTGTATATGAGGCAGCGTGATGGAAGTCCAATCAATGACAATCAATGTAATAAATGTCCATCTCATGGTGGTGGTAATATAGGAAAAGTCAAGGGATCCCCAAAGTAATTCGGATTAATCCTGTGGGGACCAGGAATAACTGGAACTATCCTGGATGGATCAACAGATCATCTCTCAAGTCACATCAATTACACAACTGATACAGCAATCCACTGCTAAGGGGTGGAGCAGGTCTTCCACTAACCAAAGAGTCGGCGGATCAAGTGTAAGATACTGAACACTAAAATGACTGTACATACACTGTATGTGTGATGGCAAAAAAGCTTTGAGTTTTCATCAAGACTAGAAAAGCTCTACATAAATACAAACCATTTATCATGTAAGAGGGACAACCATATGAGGTTTTAGAGAAATGCCCGTTTAATGACTTGTCTCTGCTACTCAGCAGTGACTTTTTACAATTCACTGATTCATTTCCACAATGTGTTCTCACCACAGGGACTTGGTACCATACTTTGATTTGTGTCCTCACACTCGGTGTCCAGAACTATCGAGGTAGAGACATCACTGTGGACGTCCGGCTTTTTATCTGCTGACCGACAGGCTCTTGAGACTGATGTACAGGGAGCTGACCATGGTGGCCTCCTCCTGGATGGAGTCCTTCAGCTCTGACTCGCGCATGCACATCACAGCCACCAGTCTCTTGGGCAGCTTCCCGCTGAACAGCAGGTAGATGCAGGGGTTGGCACAGCTGTTCAGACTGGCCAGCAACATCAGGATGGTGAAGATTGCAGCTGGAAACACACAGAGATTCATATGAGCTCGATTTTATTTATATTCGTTGTTATTTAATCGTATCTCTTTAAGTAAAGAGGATCTACTCTTGGTTACACATACTGTTTGCCCAGATTATAAAAAGTCAGATCTTAATGAAGAACTCTTTATACTATGCCTCTTAGTGTAGTATACTGTACTATTTCTCTAAATGCAATATCTTTCTCTATTTCTCTTAATTTTTGTATTTATCTTACATAATTTCTTGTCCTATTTCTCTTAATGTAGTACTTCACATTGTGTAATATCTTGTTACATTTTCATGTACTATTTCCTCTGTGTTGTAGCTTGCATATTTCTCTTAGTGTAGTATGTTCTATTTGTCTTCATTTTGCATCTCCTACCATTTCTCCAAATGTAGTTTAATGTACTATTTATATATTATGATTATCCATATCACATGTATCCTAAATGTGTTTTTTCATGTAACAAGTCCACAGTGATCTTACAGTGAGTGGGCGCCTCCACGTCCCACACGGACCACAGCTGCACGGTGAAGAAAGGCGTCCAGCAGATGATGTATGTGAGCACGATGACCACGGTCATCTTCACCGTCTTCGCCCTGGCTTTGGACACCCCGGCCACGCTGCTGGCCCTGGAGGAGAGCGCCTTGGTGTGCGCCTCTCCGACGTGTTGCGTCTTCATGTGGAAGTTGATGTGCAATGTGCGGCAGATGCGCACCTGGCACACGATCACCGTGAGAATGGGCAGCACGAATATCACCAGAGTGGTCCAGGTCACGTAGGCTCTCGGTCCCCACGGCTTGATGAACTGCGCCCAGCAGTCGTACACACCCGGAGCGACCTCCACCCGGGAGAAGATGAACACCTGCGGGAGGCTGCCGATGAGAGACACGCACCAGGCGGCGCACACCGGACCGTTCCAGCGCGCCCGGCGCCTCTGGAACTTCACCATGGGGTTACAGATGGCTTGATATCGGTCTATCGTCATCGCCACTATCATGTACGTGGAGGCAAACATCCCCACCACCTGCAGGTACTTCACTGCGCGACACAGTAAGTCTGGACCAACGAATCTGTCCGTGATGTCCCACATGAGCTGCGGACAAACTTGGAAGAAGGTGACCACCAGGTCTGCGACGCACAGGTGGAAAACGAAGACGCGCATTCTGGAGAGCTGCTTCCTGCGCTTCCACAGCAGCAGCAAGAGCCCAAAGTTCAGGATCCCCGCAGTGATGAAGATGATGGACAGAAGAACTATTTCCACCTGAGCCAAGCGCTCGTTCCGCGGTTCATCCTCAGGAAACGCAGTCTCCAAAGTGATGTTACTGATATTCACACTTGACCAAGACATGCTCTGAGGCTTAAATTCAGCGGAGTAGCTCACCACCCTGATATTACCATTCCAAGTGAATCTAGTTAAAGTAGAGACATTTAAAAACACAAATGGCAGCAGCCAGCCTGGGGTTCAGTTTTAGTTTTTTTCTCTCAACAAAAGTATTTTCTATTGTGGGGGTTTAAAGGATAAAGTCCAATAAGAATGAAGTTGAGAGTCCAGGCAGAAAGTGAGGTGTTAGTAATGGAGAGTAGGGGGCTTTATAGCTCTTCTCTGTGTGAGGGAGGAGCAACCTCACTACTGCAGAGAAAACATTCATATCTCTCAGATACACAAGTGTAAGGGATTTACACATACATACATACAAAAAATGCATTGTAATCTGCAGAGCAATTCAGCCTTTTTAATTAAAAAGAATATTTTCAACAGAACACATTGTCTTCACTAAAAACAAAAGATATTCATGTAACTGCAGGTGAACCAAAGAGAAAACCAGCAAATCAAAACCAGACATCTGTTTCCCATCATTGTCTTATCAATGAAAATAAATATTTATTTACTGAGCTCAGATTTGAATTCACTTCCCTCATGTTTCATCTTTCCACACCAGTGCAAGCAGTGAATAAGTGCTGTCCAGATTCAAATCTGCATCATTATAGTATCAGCTGTTATTCTGAGGGACTGACACAAACAGCTCTGTAATAACACATCAGCTGCCATTTTCCATAACATGTTTTCCCATGATGTGGCAGCTGCGATGATCAGACCATATTGTATGTTAGCTCTTCAGATTTACATGGTGATGCAGATGAAATCAAGAAGCCCTCAGGTAATTTAGAATGAAATTGCTTCCATCGATAGGTACACATGTCTCTGTTCTTGTGGCGTCCTCTCTCGACAAAATGCACCAGTGTGCTCGATCAATACCAGTGATCAGCAGTTACCATGCAGAGAGTCCAGACTATTTGTCAAAATAAGAAAAAAAAAAAAAAATAAACACCTCTGCTTTATCTAAGTCTTTACGTGACTGAGGAGTTCTTCTTTGTCCATCTGATAACGACTTTTCTTCCAGATGTCGCGGAGATTCTGTAAAGTGGCCCCAATCTCCTTGCCAGACGTGACGCCCATCCTCCTCAGATCGTGACCGCTGACCGGGAATCGAGGGATGGACCATCTGCAGAGCTCTGCCAGCAGCTTCTCCTCACCTTGATACTTCAGCAGCTCGCACACTTTAATCTGAGAATCCAGCTCACGACTCTGGAAATATGCAGCATGTGTAAGAGTTTTAGATCTTTAAGTGTTGTCTATATAGTTACATATTCAGTACAATAAGAAATAATCAGAATAAAATAAACCATATTTATATAATTATCGTCTCTATTCCTAAATCTGGATTGGTTCACAGACATCACATTTTCTCTAACCAATCATCACCCACTTCTGACCAGTTAAATGGGCATAAAAAGCAGGAAACACTAAAATAACCAGTATTATTATTGAATGATTGTGTTGTTTTAGTGTCGCTATGTTTTTGAGAAAAGTCAAATTCTAAATAGAAAGGAAACAAAAGCACATCTTAATCAATACACATTCCCATCTACTGAATAGTAATATTTCTGAGAATCCCTGAGCCTCATTAGTATGGGTGGGAACATGTTGCATGCAGATGGGGGTGATTGATGCAGGTGGACCACAGTTCAGCAAAAGCAGGGTGGTAAGACAAGAGGGAAGGGTTTGTGTATTAAAAGCAGTGCTGTCTGTATATCTAAAAACCTTGAAGGTGAGGATATGAACTGTCTTGTTTCGACCAAATTCATACACACAGTAGTGTTTTCTATCACAGAAGCTGGAACCTGTGTTTGGTTCATTGTCTTTTTGCTAAAAAAATTACAATAATATGACTGAACTTTGTTGAGCAGCCGCTGCATTGAGCTTCACAATCACCCAATCAAGCTGTCATGGGCAATCACCAGCTGCTTTCACCGGCACGTAACATATTACCTGCTGGAGAATAATTAAGGTCTGCCCAGAAGGGGACACGTGGACTGCAAATTCAGGGAACTCTCGAGGCTAAAATCAATCAGACAGTTCACAGCATTCTGCTAGGAATCTCTGAATGAATGAACACAGTGAAATTTGTAGCCTTTTTTTGACAAACTTACGTCAATGATAAAGTCAGTGAAGGGTTTGAGACTGTGCGGCTCGTCTTTGCTCTTGCACAGCTCCCGTCTTTGTTTGACCATGAACAGAGCCAGGTTCTTCTCCTCCCTTGAGACCTTCAGTCGGAGATCCATCTTCTCCACCTCCTCTGGACAGTGAAAGAGAGCAGCCAGGATGGTCATGGGCTTGGGAGAGTGGTCTTTGGCATTCTGCCACACTTGCTTCATCTCGCCAACATCGCCATCTGGAGGTAAACCTATGGAGGATCAAGGATCGGGGGGATGAGCAGCAGCAGAACCAAGAGAAATGGATTTTATTGTAACAATGCTAATATCTTGCTCAAACAAGTATTACTAAATAACCTTTTGTTAAATTAATCATAGAGAGACACTGGATCTGATTTATGCTAGAGTTCACAGTGCCACAGAAGTCAAGAGGACTCAAAGTCCACTTCATCTCAGGAGAGAACATTGACTCCTTCCATTTTTAGAAACGGCTCCAAATTGTTCAGTCCTTGACCTTTACTGACACTATTGATCCTTTTCACTGAGCCTCGCACTTCTCAGATAATGACTTGATAGCAGTCATTATGTCCTGTAGCCTACTTCATTTTCAGGCATGTGAGTCATAACAAAGAGAAACGCATGTTCCAATATGTGGGAACATTTTCTACTAAACTTACCTATGTACATACAGTACATACATTGGCAAGATGCTCAAAATGTTTGCTACCATGGAGCCATTATAAACGTTTCTACCTTAAATAGGAAAATAATGGACCTATTCTTTTGTTGAGGTTGAGTCTTCAAATTTATAACAGTTAACTGTGTGACCGATTGGGGTGTGGAGAAAGAGGCCAATTACAAGGCAGGACACATGAGAGATGCTGTTAAGCTAAGGATCAAGCCTTCTTGTTTCACATGGAAGCCTATATTATAATGACCTTATTCTGCATAAAACATTATTACAATTATGATGTTTATATTAGTTGCTAATAGAATATTCCATTCACATTCATAGTTACATAATGTTACAGAGTATAGTCTGATTATGACTCTACAACAACATCAACATTACGTCTTTCTACTCAAACCCAGGACAAAGAGTTGTGAAGGTTGGCAACTGTTGTGTGTCTATGTATTTCATAATGTGATTAGAATAAGTACATGTCTACATAATGTGACCAAGGCCAGAATACCCTCAGTTCAATTATTGCTTATTCTGAGTATGACCTTACATGGCAGTGTATTATTCAGACTTTTGCCTTGATCTGGTTAATATCAGAATATTGTTGGCCATGTAAACCTATCTAGTGTTCCAGAAGCTATAAAAAACTTCTTTGCATCCATCTCACCTATGTACTGGGCCAGTTCCAGCTTGTACATCAGCTCCAGTAGATGAGCAGCATGGTTACCAACCACCATCTTTTTTAGTTCCACCCAAATCCGTTCTCCCGATATCGCTGCGAGTCCTCTGCCATTTTCCCTGATGGCTGTCAGCGTCTCGGGCTCGTGGTCATCAGGCTCTAAAGCCACCCTGCCGTAGAACCTGGGTTGAATTTAGAGGGCTATGGTTAATACACTTTAAAGAAGTTGAATCAAGAGAAGATTCACCCTCCATTTTATTCAGAGCTTAGTTTGAATTGGATAAGACGAAAATAAAATGAAACAGCCCACCTGAAATATCGCAGTATTCTCAGGTAATCCTCTTGGATTCTTTGCTCAGCGCTGCCAACAAACCGAACTTTGCGGTTTTGCAGGTCTTCGTATCCTTTGAAATAATCATATAATGTGCCATCGAGACCTATAACAACATGATTAGGAAATTAAGGACAGAGTCCGAGAAACTGTGACCATCACCACAGAGAATACATTCACACCAATACAGTTTCATTTAAAAACACAAACAATGTCTGTCGATCAGTATCTGAAAACACAGATCACATGACCATTCATAGACACTGTGCATGAGGAGGCTGGTGTAAATAGGGAGCGGATTGTCTATTCTGCAGTTGTTTGCAGATCATTGAGTAAACAAGGAACAACTGACTGCATCATCAAGTCTGTTTCTGCTTGTGTAAATTAAATTGGAGTTTTCAAACTGTAACGGTACCAGCAGCCTTTCCAAAAGTCTCTGATCTCAGGCTTGAAAACTCTGGAGTAGTGTGGACGCCAGGCGTAAATATTGAGAAATTGATCTCCACAACAAAAGCAAATGCAGAGTGAAGTCTTCAACAAAGTTTGTAACTATAGAAAAACACTCTTACCTAAAAACAGGGAGTTGATGGTGAGGTCTCGCCGCTCTGCATCTTTTAGCCAGTCTGTGGTGAATTCCACCTCTGCATGACGTCCATCTGTCTGAACGTCTAGTCGCAAGGTGGTCACCTCAAAGTTCTCATTGTGTAGCTGTAAATAAAGAGCAAGAAAACATCGATGACTGGGGGCACAGCAAGACTGCCCTCCTAGTGCTGTGAGAAAATATAGGTGACATGTAATTAGGGAGTCATTTTCATTTTAGTGTCCCTCTACCCACTCTCACTTTTAGGTTTTAAACTCAAAACATTTCTTTCCACAATCTGTACATGGTAAAAGTACTTTCAAATTTAAGAACATTTTCTGATATTTATCCACTCTTATGGAGACACATGTTTCAGTCAGAAACTGCAGGCTCCTCTTACATGCAACTTATTTACATATCAAATGAATAAACACATCAAATCAGAACTTCCTGTTACTGGGCTGCTTATCTCTGGAATACCCACAATCCAGGATGGCTAATCAATTGGCCTCTTTTTCAACCTTAAGACTTAAAACCTACTTGTCTGACCAATCAGATTGACTGTACATGGAACAAATGTCTCACCCTTGCTGTAATGGTCCCATGCTTCTCTCCTTTATTGTTGATCATCCTGATGCCAGCAGCCTGGAACATGCGCTTCATCTCTTCTGGAGTTGCTGTCGTGGCAAAGTCCACATCCTCAGGCCGCTTCCCAGACAGCAGGTCCCGCACGGCACCTCCAGCTATCCTCAGCTCATGATTATTCTTCTCGAATATCTCTGCAAAGACCAAACACATATTTAAAAGCAGTCTGGTAACTTGTCAGTGGCCAGAAGCACAAGAAACTTTACAAATGAGAAAAACATAACTTTCCAAGACAAAAACATTTAATTATATTTTCCATAGAAATTCTGACTCTGCCTCTCTGTCAATCAACTTTTCCTCAAACAAAAATAATTTCTTCCACCAGAGTAACTTTAGAAATCTACAGTATTTTTAGGCTACAAATGAGTGTGCAGTGGTAGTAACCCACAACCACCACCACATGGAGACAAGTAGGACCAGGAGAGCTTTGTCTGTTTATATTTTGTTATCTTCAGAATGAACTTGGCTTGGAGGCTTTTCATTTGAATACAACCTGCATTAAACAGAATCAAAAAAATAATGTAGGCTCTTGTATTTGGTGCTTTGCCTGTAACCGGGGCTAAAAGTCTAAATATTTGTTACTTGGTTCCTCAATTTTGACTGTTTATTTCTTACTCAGGCCCAAAGCACAAAAAACATTTTATAGGGCCAATGATAAAAAGTTGGAGTATCATTTTACATCTCTAACACAAATGTCAAACCCCACATTAAAACTAATAGTTACATTTCAACATGACTTTACATGTGGATTTTTCTTTCTTGGATTCCCCAGTGACCACTACTAGAACACTGATCTATGAATTAAAAGAATCAGTAAATATCCTTATTTTTATCCACTCTATTAATACATCACATCTGGGAACATGTGGAGATGTGTCAGAGGCAGTGTGTCTGAGGACAAATAAAAAACAGATCAGTCCGGAACACTTGACTGTGCTGACATGTGAGTGGGGAAACTAGCGGAGCAGAGGAGCTGGAGGTTTCTGTGTCTCACCTACGAGTCCGTTCAGCCCCTCGGTGAACAGAGAGCGGAAGTCACTGGTCTTCAGCTGCATCGTGCACAGACTCCTCCACCAGACACCAGCTCTGCCAACCACACGAGGACTCAGCAACCTGCTCCACATCTGCACAAACAGCTCTGTCAGTTAGCTTTGAGCTAGCTAGCTAACGCTGCATGTCGGCGTGCACCGGTCGAGTTAGGTGCATACATAACATGAGCAACAGCGACGTGTCAGCGTGTACGTACCAGACAGATCCCACATAGAGTGAGCACAACACGGACACGCGCGTCAGAGGATACAGAAGTTAGTTATCTCTTCATAACATAGTTTCCGTCATTAGCGGTGCTGCGCGACAGGAAGTGGTTCCCTGACGTGCGGCTGCTGACCAATAGGCTCGCGAGGAGGGGCTTGAGGGAGCGCGTGCAGCCGGTATATTCTCGCGAGATGTTGGAGCCTGGCGCTTCAGGTGAGATCACGTTTGATGGGTGAGAGGAGCCGCTGTCAGATCAGACAACTCAGCGAGCAGCAGGCTAATGGCGAAGGTGGAGCTGGCGCCGCTCAGACCGTGGGACGACTTCTTCCCCGGCTCCGAGAGATTCGCCAAACCGGACGTGAAGGATTTGGCGAAGTGGAACAACAGGGTGGTCAGCAACCTGCTGTACTACCAGACCAACTATCTGGCTTTAGCCGTCGTTGTCTTCCTTATTGTCGGGTAAGTTACGTACGGGACGTTATGGTGTCTGCACAGTTGTTAGCATCTGAGTGCAGCTCACTTTGAAGAAGTCTGTGATCTTCTCGTGTCTGTTTGTATGTGTTGGTCTGTGCCCTGTGAGCTGGGGTGTGAGCTGCCACCTTGCAGGGATTTAGAATGAGGGCACAGACAGGATGCAGGGTGCTGCTGCGGAAAAGAGCTGAAGTCAAAGTCAGAAGAATGAACAGACCGTTATTATTGTTCCTGCTACCACGTGATGCACTGTTATTGTTATTGTTGTGTTGTCAGCAGGAACTACAGTCAAACAGTCCCCTCTCCTGTCGGAATAGGATTTCAGACATTTTATTGTTTCAGCTGAAACACACATCTGAATTAAAAGAGTCAAATCTCGAGGATGTGCCTGTTGGAAACAGTGACTGAAAAGAGGAAACTGTAACCAGCGTTCAATTCAGTTTTATTTGCATAGCTCCAAACCATAGCATATATTTACACAGTGAGCACAAACACTTGGTGAGTGTGGAGAGAACAAACTCGTTACAGAAATAAACTAGAGCCCGACTGACATGGGTTTTTTGGGGGTCGCTGCTGATACTGATCAAAGTGAAAGAAACGATATATCCAATATATATATATCATCCAACATATATAGTGAATTTCTTCATCCAAGCTTGATATGCATAATTTCACAGTATCCATCCCCAAATGTTTGTGTCAAAGAAGAGATTAAATATAGAAGTGTATTTAACCAACCTCCTCTCCTGGATAAACGTTGAACTAACCTAAGAAGAAGATAAAAGTCCCCCCTTCTGTTACAGATAATACTTTGAAATGGGTGAAATCTGCAAATTCGGCCCAATGTCGATACTCACTGATATGACTCTGAGAGGCCAATATTGATCGATGATATCGGCCAATAGATAAATCGAAGAAACCTCTTGCAGAGCTAGACTCAATGTGGGAGGCCATCATCCTCGACAGGTTGGGGTGAGTGGAGAAAAATGGGGGAGAGAGACCAGGAACAGTTGTGTAACCATCATATTTCAGCTCAGACTGGTTGTTATAGTGTAAATAATAAAAGTGATGTTTATAGATGTAATAATATTCATGATAGCAGCACCAGTTAATAATGATAATAATAATATTAAAGTTGGTCCTGACTCATTCTGTATCATGAGCCATAATCAGACTTCTATTATCTGATGACTCCATACAAGGCAGATTCACTCAGCTCAGGGGCAAAGGCTCCACTTTATGAAATATCTTGGCTTTAGTTGGCACTTTGCTCCAACTTAAGCCCAGTTTACTAAAAATAGTGATGCCCTCTGTCACGCTCTGTGTGCTGGGCTGTGTGATGACATATTGTTGCTATGGATTGTCTCGTCAGCTGTTGCACTGCTGATAGCAGAGTCATGAGCGCAGCATGTTAATCAGCTGGATGGACCCTGTATCTTTGAGGAGGAAAAACAAAAGAGTTGGACATTTCATCAGCGAGTAAATCCTGACTCATCAGGCAACAAGGCTGAACTTTGACATTTTCAGTTTACTTGTTTCATTAAATCATGGTGTGCTATGTTAATGCATTTTGAAAACAGCTCACCCACATCTCTGAGTTTACATGAACATTATTGGTAAAGTGTTGTCAATAAACTTAACACACAGACAATAATCTGCGAGCTCTAACAGCAGTTTGTCTCAGGATTAGACTGAGATCCTAAACAAATCTTTAGAAAGATGGTGCAATCGAGACAATCTGTTAGGCTTAAATACATGTAATGTTCACAGTTCAGTGTTTATTTAGTGTCAGTGATAAATCAAATTTAGATTTAATTGTAGAAGTTTTATCCTTGAAATCTAAATTGTCTGGGCAGATATAATATCACAGATCTATTGATATCATCAAATAGGCAAAAGGTTACAAGACAGAAGTGGTTTTGAGGTAATGTATTGTGTTGTCTTCACATAGATTGTCCAGCAGAGGGCATTGGAAAGTTACTTGAACTGGTCCTAATTTAAGGATTAAAGGAATTTAAGGATTTAAAAGGTCACAGATTTAGTGTCATCTAGTTTTATGTGAAAAAATATACATGTGGTGAGTATATTGATATTGCAATTGAGGAAATGTTAATACTGACAATTTTTTCATGCACTATGATGCCATGCATTATATTATACAAGCATTTATGTTATAAATTAAATGTACACATTGTATTGAAGTGGCAGCAGACAATGATTGGCCCTTTACTTTAGGAAATAAGAATATCTGCTTGATTGATGCTGTGTTATAATCACACACAAACCCTCATGTAGCCTTGTGTTCTTTAAGAGGTTCTTCAGCCTTGAGGGGCCCAGTTACTCAGGATCCCCAATGTTAGTGTGAGGCTTTAAACCTCAAAGAGCGGCAGAGTAACTGTGAGACAGGCCTTTGGTCACGCACTTAGTTCACGAACGTGACCTGATGACATCACTGCCGCCACTGCCGCCAGGCCGGGATTTGTCACAGAGCTTTTATATCTGAGGCGTCTGGTCAGTGAGAAAACAACAGCAATTACTTATTACTTTCAACATCTTATATATATGCTGATGGTATATATGGTAGAAAATTGTGATGAAATCCCGATTGTATTTCTGTAGAGCCCAAGAAGTCATACCTTCAAAACTGTTACTTCCACCATTTGTTTGTCAGTTGGTTTGTTTGTTAACAAGACTATGCAAAAACAACTGAGCTTATTACCATGAAACCTGGTGTTAGGATTTGATATGAGAAGAAGCCATAGAAGTTTGGGCAGATCAGGGGAGGGATCCAGGATTTCGTTTAGGGAACTTGTGTTAATAAGTGTGTGAAATTCGGTGCAGCTTGATTGAGTTTAAGGTGTTGGGCCTTGGCGGAGGTATGCACTCTACTGAGACATTCTAGTTGGAAGATTTTCCACCACATAAAGTAAAGAAAAGCAACTTTATCTCCTTCTGAAACTGTTCTTCTATTGTCCTAATAGTTTCAAGTTTATCTTCACTACCGTTTCAATTTTAGTTCTTTCAGTTGAGAAAAAAAAAAAAATTCAAATCCATGCAAATTGATACTCACTTCTCAAACCTTATTTATTTGATGAAAACAATCTGTGATACTTTAAGTGGTGTTGTTGTACTGACAGCATCTAAACACTGGGTGGAGCCAGTGACCACACACGTGAACCCTGCCTTTGCTCACGCTGTAAACTGACCCCCTGCTCTCTGTGGCGTCTTGTGTTGCCACCCTGCAGGTTCCTGAACCCTCTGGGGATGTTCACAGCGATGGCAGTGGTGTCGGGCGTCTTCCTCGGCTCGGTGTGGGCCGGGGAGAACCGAGCAGTGATCAACAACTTTAAGAGACAGAACCCCACAGCATTTGTGATCGCCATCATGATTGCCAGCTATCTCCTCATCTCTATGCTGGGGAGTGTCATGGTGTTCATGTCGGCAATCACTTTACCTTTGGCATGTAAGTTCAAGACAGTAATTCATAAAGGTCCTATTTTGATTTTAAACCATAAATGACACATGAAGTTAATATATGCATGTTACTGCAATATAATTTTTGGCATTAAAGTGATGAGAGATGAAAAATAATTTAATAGCTGAATAAAAACCTTTTATGTCTGAGTAATTTTTCTTTTAGAGTACAGTGATCTGTTCATCTGTGCCATTATAAAAAAATCTTCACTCTTCTTAAATTAGTCAAACATGTTGTTTCAGATTCTCACAGACTTTTATCATAGTTTGACTCGAACATAAGTTAATGGTTTGTTTTTGCCAAACCGTAACCATTTGCTCTCCCATCTGTCTTTCAGTGATATTTGCACACTCTTCATTTCGCCTGCGCAACATGAAGAATAAACTGGAGAACAAGATCGAGGGCGCCGGCCTGAAGAGGTCACCCATGGGTATTTTGCTGGAGGCTCTAGGTCAACAAGAAGAGAACTTTCAAAAGATCCAAAGCTTTCTGGAGGGAAAACTGAAGGAGTGATCGGACATGGAACAGAGCCACATGCACAAATACACACAAACGTCCATATTTTTGGCCAAAGATTTTGACTTTTTTCTTAGATTTAACAAATGTCTGTATCTCTCAGTCTAAACCTCTTAAAAGTATTTTTCCTACACAGCGTGTGAACTTGTGTGTATTTTCTAAAGCCTTGTTATCTTTACCTGGGTTATCTGCCAATCCACCCAGAACTTGTCAGGGCACTTTTTCTCAAAACATCTATGAGTGCACCTCAACGCTGCCTCACATCTCTGCTATGTGGCGTGTCAGTGCTCCACACAGCTGCAGACTCCTCTCCTTGGTACAGAGATCTGCGTTTAATCAGAGCTTCAGCCCTGCAGTTATCCCTCGACTAAAACTGAAAGCAATGCAAGTGTTGCCTTTTTAACAAAGTATTAAAAAGTGCACAGTCAACACACATCACTGCCAAGACTCTGGGTTGTCTGCTCACATAAAACACAACAGTTTACTCGAGCATGCGTTTGACTATAAACAGCAACCTCATGTTCACGCTAATAAAAAGAGCGAGACAAAAGAGAGAAGTGAGTGAGATGAGTGGTGATATTTGAAATGAAAACTTCAAAGCAGCGTGAGGTCTTAACCCGCGCCCATCAGTATTCCGCCCGCACCTCTCACTGTTTAATCTTGACAGTGCCCCCTGGGTAATGGATTGGCCAACTTTGCTTTCCTCTCCACTTACCCCCAATGCTAATCAATGGGCTGCAGTAGATTATAGTGTGGAGAGCTGAGCACGCCGCGCGGTGACAAAGTGCATCTGCAGTCACTCACCTCCAAATCCGAGCTAGTTTTTGCTGCGTCAGCTACTTTGGCTGTTTCATATTGGATTCCATTTAAAATTGACTGCAGATAGCGAGAATCCATCTGGAACATAACGTGCTGTTATTTGGTTTCAAGGGGCAGAGTGAGGATGTGAGGGAAAACGTGAAGATAAGAATGATGGGCATTAAAATGAGAACGCTGTGTTCGTGTTAACCCTTTGCCTTCAGAATGACTAAAATCCTTCCTTTGTGTGATGTTTTTGAAGCGAGCTCTACAGATGACCCCTGCACACTCAGGTGAAACAGTATTCCAGTGACTTCCCAAGCTAACCCCCCTCCCCCCCACCGCCTGTGCTACAGTAGTGATTTATGTCTCCCGCTGCGTGCGGTGCCTCATCCTCATCCATATTGTGGAACTTGGGGGAGTAAGCACAAGCACCGGTGGGTTTAAACTAGAACTGAAGTCATGTCCCTGAGGGCACAGTGGAGGCCCTTGTTCTCACTGCTGCAGCTGCCGTGAGGTTCGTACCGACACGCGTGTGCTGCCGCTCGCACAACAGGTGTGTGTGTTTTTGGACACAGTTGCACAGTACAAAACAACGCTCATGCTTTCTTGGTGTTGTTGCATGAGTCAGCAACAGTTCACTAACTTGTCATTTTGAAACATGGTGGTGTTACAAATAAACCTGTGCGCTGTTTTGGTTCCAGCTGCTAAGTAACAACTCTTCTCCTTTTGCACGAGTTTATGTTACAACATCCTCCACCTGGTTAGTTTCCACAACACATACAGTAGGTGTGGGTCAGGGAATCTTTTTTGCATCATATAGTACATAAGTCTGTTTGGTCACTTTGACAACACACTGCCTTCAGATTGACCTTTTTCAGTCCCCGCCCCGCCTGAGAGGCTTTGGCTCTTTGCTTGCTTGCTAAGCTGGTTAGCTAGCTTCAGAACTCAAGAATACTTTCAGCAGATCCAGCCGCCTGGACCAACACTGCTGCGGTGGATCACGTGACACGTTAGCGATGACCCGCTGCGACCTTTCCGCAGTCTGATGTATCCTCATGTGATCTCCTCAACCTTTCCCGTACACCCACACTGCTCTCCTCCACCTCCTTCATGAGAGCTCAGCCATGTTAGCAGATGAACCCGGCCTCGTGCATGTGACCGGTCAGCTAATCGAACCATTCAAACGGCATAACTTGTCAGAGCCGTTCTGCCTGGATCAAGGTGCAATGTGCTGATCCTTGGGATGGTTTACTCTCACTTTAATCTGATCTTGGCTGAGCTTAGCTTTTAATGTCTGACACCTACGATACCTGCTCAAGGGTTGGGTCACATCATGAAAGTTTTTGACCCAAGCACGGATTTGATTCCTAAGCTTCTGCGCCAATGTCCAAGGTACTTTTTTCTTCGATATCTTACTTTGAGAAATATAGAAAAAGACTTCTTTTTGGGGGCATTGCAAATACAATCCATAAACACTGAACTGAGCCCAAGTCGATATGATTTAATTCTCCCTGTGTAAATAGCTGCTGAAAGCTTCCAGCAGACGCAACTAACTCCTGAAGCGAAAATCTGGTTCTTTTCCCGCTAAATGCTATGCCTTGTTTACTAGGCAAGGTGGTCGGGTTCTGCAGAACTAAACAGAACTCAAAATATACCCCTGCCATACCATATTTTGTATTTAGAGTTGTTTGCGCAAAACAGTTCTACTCAACCTGTGGACAGAAATGTCTACCCAGGGCAACACAAAGTTACCAGGCAACCCTGCTAGGTAGCTGCTAACATTATCTGTCCACATGCAGTTTGGTCCTGGAACAGGCAGCATACAAATGGTTCATCAGAGCCTTTTTGCTGAATGCAAAGACATGGCCCCTTCCAAAAGGGAAGCCAAATAATCCATGTTAGCCCCCTAGTGGCTGCCTGCAGTAGAGGTCATATGTCAATTTGGAGTCTAAATAACCTAACCCCAATCTGCATGTTTGGACTCTGGGAGGAAACTGGAGTAACGGGAGACTAGCCACTGAGACCCCCACTGAACCGGGAACCTTCTCGCTGTGAGGCAACAGTGCTAACATGTACTGAAATTATAAAAAATAAATGTTTCCTAAAGATGGTTTCTGTCATTTTTATCACTGCTAAGTGTTTCAATTAATTATTTGATGCAATATAATTTGGGTGAAACACTATGATTTACAGCTGAGTTTGATTCAGGATTGGTCGTGCAAATGTATCTGTGGGACCTCGAAACCATGGTTTTACTCCCTGATCACTACTGCGCAGACTCTGGGACTAAATTACAAACAAAATGGCAGCTCCCATAACTTGGATATATTGGCTTCCTTTTTATTTTTACATGGGGAGGAGGGGGAGCTGCATCTTTTAAACAGATGTCAACTAAAAATGGTGGTTGGTGATACTTATCCAGAACATTTTAATAACAGGTTTACGATCAAAAAAAGGAACTGAGAATCACTTTTGTAAAAGATATTTCATACAAAATATTGATCGCTGCAGCTTTAAATTGGGAATCCTCTGATTATAAACTAGGCCTAGTCCTGACCAGACATTTGATACCAGCTCTCAGTATTTGATGGTTTTTGGTACTTGGCTTTCCAGGCATCAATCACTGCCATCTAACTATAAAGTTGGAGACCCAGCTCTAATCTGCTCTGTAGTTTCGTCTGTAGTTAGGATGAGACAAAAGCACATAGGAGCCCTTTGTTTATGTAGTGGCGTGTCAGCTGGAGAAGCCTCCCCTGACGTCTGGCTGCAGTTGGTGCGAGGCAGTGCAAGAGCAGACACAGCGAGACAGCTGGATCCAAAACACTCCAGCCCCATCTCACTGCCTCTGGTACAGCCGAGGAGCTGGGAAGTACCTCCCCCGAGCTCGCTCAAGAAGCATAACACCGAGAGGCACTGAGAGCAAGTGAAGCTGCTCGACTGCGGCCTTCCTGGAGAGGCGAGCGTGGCAGGATATACACTTTTAGTGGTAGAAAATGTGGGGAAAGGGAGGGAGGGAAATGGGGTGAAGGGTCACAGCATTATCTGTGGCAGGGTGGAGGAAGCTCAATGCATGTCTACAGCAGACTTGTGTTGCATAGATGCCTGGAGGGAGGGTTTGGTGCAATAAACACTGGCTTGTCATTCACAGGGAGGACAGAAGAGGTTTTAGCTCATGGAGGGTGTGACGGCATTTAAAGACTGGTTTGGTCGGTTTATGGCCCTAAGACACATACAAACAAAAAAAACAGCGTGGCTGCACTGCGAAAGACGTTGAGAAAACTGACAGAACTCTGCAGCAGGGGAGCAATTTAAAAAAAAGATCATTTATTCATAATTAGCTATCATCATGACTGATTGCAGCTCCGCTTTCGTTCTTACAGGCCCCCCAAAAAGGAAACAAAGGCTGGGATGTAGCCAGTTATCTCTCAAACTATAATCTGCTTCCTTGAACATTCCCCAGATGATCTGTTTCTAAACCGTTCATACGTGGAGAATGAAGTTGTTCAGGATCAGTGTGTACACAGTCTGCTCTTCCAGACTTAAGGTTATTTAGGTGTTTACCTCTTGAGCAGTGGTACTTTTCAAACCCTCATTTCATTAATTGAAGTGGATCAACAGAAGTTCACTTATCTAATTTATGGGATTTGGATCTAAACCCTGCGTTTTCTTGAGAGAAGGGATGAGGATTTTGGAATTCCCTCAGAAGCTATAAGTCTCTATAACTTGACAAACATCACCTTCAAAACACACCAATCATTCAAACGCTGATTTTTTTTATTCAAACAAATGCAATTATACAAATGACTAAGAACCAGCTTAACAACAGTTGTTTACTATATATTACATGCTTTTCAAATACATAAAAATGTCTAAAAAAGAAGGGAAAAAAAGACAAAACCAGTGTATTTACAATACCAACATTTACATACAGCTTCATTCTCTGAGAGAAATTGGGAGCACCAGTCCATGATTTCCAGCATGGATGAAATATCATGTTAGAATAAAAAAAAATAAAAAAGATAATATAAACAAAACTGAACTGTCTTCTTGCAGTGACTGATCAGATGTGGCAGTAATATTAAAGTTGATGACTTCGAGTAATACTCAAGTGGTGTGACGCAGTAGAAGTACTTGGCTCAATTGTATTGTTAAGTACTGACACTGAGATGTACTAAATACTCAGTAAATGACTAACAGAAGGACAGGAAGCACAGTGGTAGTTTGAAACAACGCTGTTTGATAAAACTGGATCTGGTGGCTGTACATCGTTCCAGGAAGTAGCCCACTCTTCTGACTCATTTTCAATGAGCTCAATCCTTCATTTTGATGATGTCCACATCAATCCTTGTGTGATCCTTCATAGTAACATGTGTGTGTAAATAGGAGAACATTAGCAGAGCAGTAGTCTTTTCTCCTTGTTCATAACGGCTCAGTATCCTCTTCCAGAGACATTCTTAGTCCTTGGTTAGTGAAGTCGGCATCTCCTCAGAGAAACACTGGAGAGTTTCAGTCCACAGCAGGTCCTGGTAAAGTTTCAGTGCACAACTGCCATCACCACAAACACTCGCAATTCCACACACGTAGACGCTCCCTCTTGGGTTTTGTTATGATTTAAAACACAAGGATGTGGGTCGGTTTGGCAACTGTGTTTGTGACAAACAAGTTCCTTCATTCTTTGGATCCCATTTACAGAAACGTGGGTAAGTGCAGTCTAAGGCACAATGACAACGTGTCAAGGTGAGAGATTCGTACAGCGCGACGACAAGTGAGGCAACTACACTATTGTTCCCGGTTTTGAGTCCTCGTGCCAGTGAATCTGGTCGTCCGGGTCCATGTTCGTGTGCATTTGGCTGCTGACATCTATGTAGGATCTGGAATAAGCACAGGAGATTGAAACACATTAGACAGGTGGCAAAATGAATGTGACTGGTTAAGAATGGGTTTACAATGAATTAACCCAGGGCTGTGATTATCCAACCCAATGCCTTGATCAGGAGCTCCACTTTAAGTAGGAATGTTAAAACACACACTAATGTAAGTTACCATGTGTTTCAGATCTGCTCAAGGTGGAGTAAGAGATTCTAATCCAATACACTTTTCATCCAATTCAGTGATCATCTCCTCATGGTCCACAAGCACTAGCAGAGCCTGGCCTGTGTTCCTGGCAGAGCTGGCTATGTAAATGGGAAACCAACAAAGTAGCCGGGGTTGAGCCACACTAATATGATTACAGTCCGTCAGCAACAGGTGGCGTTCATGCTTGTGCACAGGGCAATGAAAAGAAGTAAAAAAAAAAGGGGAGATGGGATAGTGAGAGAAGGTAACACTTGCTAACGGAGAGTGGATTACCAGGGGAAGGGGATGGGAGGGGACATAGAGCAATGTACCATTCCATCACCGCCAGACCGTGAGGACAGTATTGATTGGAGATGAGAGACCGGCGGCGATGTTAAGGAGAGTGTGTCATGACAGTAGTATATACAGTAATAACACTATCAAGAAAAAAAGATGGCAAAGCCGAATAGAAGGTCAGAAGAACAAAGTCTACAAAAAATAAGATATTTTATCAGTGTGATGTTACAGGAGCTGGACAGTTCATTATCGTGGTCTGCAGTTGGTGTTGTGGCCCTGGTTAAAAGTCAAATAGTCTCTGCACGTTGTCCTGCGGCAACTGCAACAACAGTTTGATGTCTTGCTGTTTGCACCGCATCATGATGTTTGTCTGAGTATGTACATTTTTATAGCCACAAACAACTACATACACAAGTTTGCGTGCACAGTGGGATTGTTTGGTTTGATGCAATATCTGAAATACTATTCCAGGTAATGTTAACCTGTTTGTTAACTTACAGCTACTAAACTACTGTCTTCTTTGTCTTTTGTTGCAGTTCTTTTCATTTTCACGCCATGAGACTGGTTCAATGTACGCCCATGAGTTTAGGAGGTGCAGAGCTTCTGGATGAGCACTGAAGGGAGTGTGTATTGTTTTTCTGTTGATGTCACTCTCAAGAATCACTTACTCCACCTTTAATGTTAAACTCAGATTCAAACCCAGAGCGAAACATTCTCACACAACAATGCAGCAGATGCACATAGAAATTAAACACACGCACAGCCTTCAAATGCGACAATGATCAGGGGTCACATTTTTCCTCTGCCACACAAGTGCTTTCCCACCACCGAAAGACACCCGAAATCATGAAGGTAAACATTATTTGGAGCTTTCTGTGAGGCCCTGCGATGTTTAAAAAAAAAGATCACCATCACCATGATAACCAAGTGGGGTAGTTTTATATTCTCATCTCTCACCCTTTCCTCTGTGCTGCAACTTTGATTATTGGGGGGAAAGGTTTAATTTTCCTGGTCAGTAGCATAGACTGCAGCACCACACCTCTCTAAAGGCCCCGCAGGGCACGCCATCCTATTACTGCTCCGCCACTCAAACTCTGTGGGACATCTGCACATGAGAGGGGGCAAAGGTGAAGGGTGAATGGCAACTCATGGGCAGGGAGCCTCTGCATGGGCCGAGACGGCAAACAGCAGAGGAGAAATAACAAACAAAAAAGAGAAATGTGACCACTGGATGGCAATATGCTTGCCAGAAGAGGAAGTAAAGCCATGCAGTTACCTTATCATACATGATAATGCACAATACAACATCTCAAAAATGCAAAAGAGTTCACTTCAACATCGACGAGCAGACTATGATTTACACTGCGGACAAACTGAAAGAAGCAAACGCACAGGCTCCAGCTGTCGCTGTTTACTTACTATGAACTACCTTTAGCAAAGGACACCTTACTGAGCCTGTGCCCTCTGGAGGATTGAGGCTGCGCAGGGCTGGAGGCCACCTGTCTGGCCCGACAGCCAGGGGAGGAAGAGGGAAAGGAGGAGGAGGGCAGGGAGGAGGTGGAGGAGGAAGCTGAGGAGGAAGAACTAGCAGGGTAATAGGCACAGCGCCTCCGACCATCAGGGCTGTGCCAGGAGGCCTTTAAAAGCTGTGAGGTGCCGTATCTATAAGAAAGCAGGGCCCAGTGGAGAGTTAAGGAGGATAAGAGAACCGTTCTGAAGCTCTGAGGAGGAAGTGACAGCCGGCCACATTGTCTATAATCTTACTGCTGAACCAAGCTGTAACATTAAATACATACATCGCATGGAGGTGAAGTTAAAGAAAAGGTAACGCTGGCTACACAAGTGTTGTGTGTAAGGGATAACAATTCCAGGTAATTAAACACTGGGCTTAGCTCTGGGGATAAGGAGGATCAGGGAGTGTCTTATTGGATAAGGAGCTGAGTTGAGGCCAAGTTTTTTTTTCTCACCTGCTGTGGGCAGAGTGGGTGTATGGGGCTGTGCTGTAAGAGTAGGAGGGCGGCGGCGCATGCATTGGCATGTCGTATTCCAACATGCCACCACTCATTTGGCTGTGCCAGTTTCCAGTGGAGGATGCTGAGGACGCTGTAGAAAACAAATGGTGCAATTTAGTAATGATCAACCTGCGTGTAAAACTTGTGTAAACAACATTATTTGCTGGAGACTGTGTGGCCGTGACAGGGTGCCGTGGTCTGACCTGATGAGAACATGTTTCTGTTGTTGTGGCTGTAGGGTGCAGGCATGGTCTGATAGCCCAGGCTCTGCTGGGAGCCTCTGTCGTAGTCGTAGTATGTAGGTTGTTTGTGTGCGGCGTTGCGATGGTACCAGCCTCTCAGGTGCTCAGCCACCAAGGCTTTTTGGATGTTCTTGCTGACATGCTCGTTGCTGTGGGCCACCTGACGGTTTCTTGGTGGCCGCAGCGTGGCATATGGGTGCTGCGACATGCCGTCTATCTCGTCGTTACCGTAGTGACTGTGCATGTCATGATAATCTGTCGGGGCGGGATTGTAGGAGGGGTTGACATTATAGTGTCCCTCCATCTCGTTGTCATACATGTAGAGTCCGTTGGAGTAAGGTTCTGGGTCGGCGTAGCTGGGGTAACCTGTGACGTAATAAGCTGTTGTGGTGGGTCGGGCCCGGGGCTGGTATGCATAGCAGCGGGTGTCTGGCTGAGCCAGGTTGGGCATGCTGCCTGTGTTGGCGTACATGTCTTTTCTGTGGCGACCGCGGGCTCTGCGTCTGTGCGTGTGGTTACCAGGAACGCTGTACTCCACACTGGACTGGCTTGTGTAGGAGGAGCCGTCATCGAGGACCTCTGTGCTGTTGCTGCGTCGGGGTGGGGAGAAGGTGACCGTTGGCACGGGAGGTTCAGTTTCTGTCTGGAACTGAGACTGGGACTCCAGACTCCCGCTACGCTGGCGGAAATGTTGTGGAGCATCCTCTGTCCTACAAGAGGGAAACATAATTCCCTCAGATATACATGTACGGCAAAATAGACCAGCTGCTGATGAAAATATAAAGGAATTAACAGTCCATCTCTGAGCCTCACCTTAGCTGGGTGCTGCTGTAGGCATTGCGGGTGAGGAGAGGGGTAGGGGGCATGCTGCGGGCATCCCGTGGCTGTCTGGAAGCCGGTTTAAAAGGGCTGCTGTGGCTTGATAAGGCATCACGGTGACTGTAATGGAGCGATTCCTGGACTTGTCCATAAATTAATCTGGAACACAAATAAGAACAATGTTTTCAGGGCATTCCCTTCTTGCCTTTTTTATTAAGGTAAACACCTCTACCCTTCACTTTACTTGCTCACAAAACTAAAGAAGAAGAAAAAAAACACCTTGCATGTGCATAAAAGCTGCACTTTAGTCATCACTTCCACCTGAATGGCTGTAATTTCAGAGTTCATTGATCTTTCTTTTCATGCAACAGTAAGCATTGTGACCAAGACATGTCTGTAGCTGAGGGCAACACATTGCTTCTATCATTTCTACACAGTGGTGAAGTGGCTGCCATCTAAACTAAGTTCCCGGAGCCACTTTCCTGTTTCTTTTCCTCTCAACTTGGACTTGTTGACTGCTCCTTCACAGGCAGTGACATGTTCTTCTACATCTATTTTTAAGGCAAGTGCATTTGGGCACTTGATAAGAGGGAGATTGCTGGAGAGGCAGAAGAAAATGGGAGGGGATTACTGGCAGGAATGTAGCTCTGGATCTGCTCTACAGGTCTGTACTAGCTCCTTGCTCAGTCAGACACACACACTAGAAAATCAGAAACATAAATACACTCCCTTCGTGTCAGTGCTAGCTGTGTACCTGTTTTCTGCGTGCTGCTCGTTGGCAGAAACACGTCTCTCTTTGTTGTAGTGGAGGTCCAGGGTTTCTGCATGGTGCAGTCTTGGAGAATACTGCACTGATCTGGACCGCTGCCTCTGGGAAGTAAACTCATCATCTAGGAGATAAAAGCAATAACTTAGGTATAACTCATCTATAATGGAGGATTGTGAGGAGGGTGTAAATACATGCACACTGAGAATTTTAATGCTTGGACACTCACCATCATCCAGAGTAAGGCTGTCAGATAGAGAACTGAGGTCTGAAGGGTTGACATCATCTGATAACAGAGGAGAGGAATGGTCCTTTACAAATGCTTCTTCTTATAGACAGTGGCAGTATTTACAATCAGTTACTATGTGGATTTGTAATTGTTTGTGATATCTGAGTGTGACTGATTTCTATAAACAGATTATACATGTGAATATGCAGAATCTTTAGGTGAAGGACGATTTTTGGGCCATTTCTAGTTTGAGCAATCACGTTTGAGCTTGCTTCGGTTGCCTGCATGTAAACAGTCTTTGTGGGGAGGCAAAGCATGTAGACTGAAATCCAACGGCTATTGGGTTTTCTGCATTCATATAGAGATAGCTGTTCATAGAGATGAGCCGAAATGTTGTCACGACCTACAACATCTACAAAAATAATCGTTGTTTGTGTCTGGAAGCCAAAACATTTTATCTGTTTCGCCAGAGGCTAATTCATAATAAGATGATAGCCAATGGGCTTCGATATTGGTGTGTGAGTACCTGCTAAAATCAGTGAAGCTCTCTGGGTGGGCTTCTTTCCTTTCTTGATCCTGTAGGCATTGATGTCCCGTTCGATATTCTCCAACTTCCGCCTTGCGTCCAAGAAGTTATTTCTCCTCTTCTTTCTAGCTGTCTTGCAGAGGTCGCCCTCACTGGCTAACTTGATGGCTGCTTCTACAATCTTCTGCTGTAGCGCAAACATGCTCTCCAGATTCCTCAAATGTGGGTCCTGTAGTCACACATACACACATGACAGATGCTGTTAGCAGTCCTCCGAACAAAGAAACAGACTTTAAAAAGCTCCATGTTCAAAAACACCATTTATTAAAAACAGATAAAACATTCATTTTCAATGTGCTCACATATTCTCATTCATATTCAGTTTTCCACATTGACTTGTAAATGTAAGCCAGCTACAACTCATAACAGTTTAATTCAAAACATGCTATGTAAGCCTCAAAGCACATGTTCAACTTTTACTCCTCATTTCAAAAAGTCCAATGATCTGAACGATCTCCAGGTGATCAAACCCTCTTTATGCATAACAGCAGGAAAGGTAGAAATATATCACAACCATAGCTTTACTAACCTCATCATAGGGGAAGAGGTCATCCAGCTTGAAGGCTGTTCCAACACGCCGACGGACTTGGGGACCCTTCTCACCCGTGGCCAGGGGATACTCTTTAGGTAATCTGCCTGTAAGCTCCTAGAAATAAGAACAACCACCCGTCAGTTGAGTGAAAAAACTTCACATCTTCAAACAACAGACTGGGAGAGACACTCACTGCTTCTCTCATGCAGATTTTTTTCAGTTCTTCAACTTTCTTCGTCAGCTTGTCTTGAAGGTCTTTTTCTTTCTTCTTTAACTCTGCAATCTTCTCTTTCTTCTGCTCCTCACTGACTTCAGAATCAGCAGAACCTGGAATAAGCCCACATCTGATTAGCTTAAAAAAAAACCTACAGCCATAAATCATCGTTCATCAGTCTGATGTGGAACAGAAGCAATTAGCTGGTTAACTCTCTGCTTACCGGCTGAGATGAGGCTCCCACTGCTGGCCATGATGAGCTGGTCTTTGCTCTCGATGCTGGAGAGTTTAGTGATCCGGGGGGCGCAGATCTCTGTGAGGTCAACAGCGATGTCCCCTGAACTCCTGGTTGTGGTCATTTTCGACTGTAGGGGACAAAATAAGGGGACAGTTAGGAGAGGAAAACAAGAAAGGGTGGTGTAGGAAGGTTTGGAAGTATTTCATTTTAATGATAGCGCACTGCGATAGTAGTGGCCCATTTGCATACTCTGTACTCAGAGCTCACAGCTCTCTCATCAATCAGTGTGGGCTCTATTCCTGGATGACACACCATCTGCCTTTGAGCAAGACAGAGGATGAATAACCTCATCTGACTGCAGCCACACACACTCATAGCTCCGATGCTCAGCAAATATGCACCATAAACAAAAACACATAAGCACTGAATGTCTTTGGGGCACTGGGACAAGTTTTAACACTTTCACAAGGACCTGCACTGTCAACACAGTACAGTATGACACAGTCAGAAAACAAATGTACTACTCTGACTGTATCATTCTGAATATAAATCGACTGAAAAACACCCTCAGAACAATTATGAGCATTTAAACGCGTTACTTTCAAAAGGTTACACTAGTTTTATTTCTATTAAACGGGAGCCTTACAGAACAACATAAGCTGACTGGCATCATCGGACCCATTGCTATTAAACCTGTCATCTCTTTATCAAACTATTTACACAAGTCATAAACATGGGACACAGATCAGGCAGTGCATCACATGATGAACAGTCACAGTTGCACTAGACTGTAGTTTCAATAACTTTTTTTCAGTCCATGTTCAAACTACTCAAACTCAGTGGGTTTTGATCATTTTAAGCTACAGCTGGAGTTAATTTTACAATATTAAACGTTATCACCCAAAATCAAGTCAGGAGAAACTGACCAGTGGAGAACACAAAACACGCAGCATGTGTCAGCCAGTCATTAACTCTTCCAGTGTGGGCTTTTTTCCACACACTGACCCTGATCTGTATGTGGGTCACCCGACACAAGACAAGCTCTCTCTACAAAAGTCAAGATGACTATCGGCCAGTTTGATTGCATTGGTGGGAAATGTGAACAATGTCAAACAAGAAAACAGAGACTTACTTTGCTTTGCTTTCTATCCAGGTAGAACTGGTGCTGACTGATGGCCATCACCCAGATGGTTTTAATCAGAGAGTGGCTGGCATACCATGTGTGAATAACCAGACCAGTCTGTCCAAAGGTTCGCTTGGTCACTGTTCTTCTATAAAAGATAATAAACAGACACTAAGTACTTCTACTGATCCAGAAGAAAAGTCTTTTCAGCTACATAACAAAAAAACACTGATGGTAGATAAACAAGGTTTTCATTAATATAAAATGTCTTACTAAGCAGAGACTGGAGAAGAAAAAAATCTTCATCCAATTAAACATATAAGAGCTTGTGTAGTAAATTTACTGAAGAGACAAGCAGTGACATCACACTTTGAAACAGACTGTGGGATTTAATGACAGCTCTGAAGGCTGAGAGTACCAAGTTAATGCTGTGAGAGGAGCAGAGGTCTACAACAACCATAGAATAATAAAGTGCCCCTTGACCAGTAGGAAGCATTCATTTAACAGGCAGGTTACAGCCATTAACATGGTGTCCTAAATGCACCACAGGCTCCAGATGCCCTTCACTATGTGAAAGTTGTAGGTTAAGGACAAGAGCGCTGAGAAAACAGCAGCTAAAATTAGAACACTTTAAAAACAGATATGAAAAATAAGGTTGTTTGCTTTGTCTGACCTGTGCGGGTCGTTCACTTCCACTGCAAATTTCTTCTCGCGGAAATACAAATTCTCCAACTGCTTCCACTGAAACAACTGCAGAGAGAATGAGACAGAGAAGGGGAGGGGGGTGGGTATTGAGAAATTACACCCATGAGTACACAAGCCAACACTGGATTTGAAATGTTGATTTACAGTACTTTAACAGAGGGATCACTTCATAAACAAAAGGCTGTACAAATACCCTTTTGTATTCATTTGGTAAGAAAAGCTACAATCTTCCTAACAGAACACAACCGGCCGGCAAGTATTAAAACAATTGGCTTTTTTTCTGCCAAAGCACCCTGCCTTTTAGCAACATTTTTTTACTGGTTGACTTGCAGCATTAGCAGAAACAGCATAACAGCTGAAGCCATGAATGGGGCTCAGAGGGCCAGTCAGTCAGGTGTAAGTCCAGGCTAACACAGGAGCAATTATAATGCTGCTGCAACTGCAGGGAGTAAAATTGTACCAGGCGGCAGGCCAGCTTCTCATTTCATTCTACCGTGGAGGGAAACAGAGGCAGAACTTCTCTGTGTCAGAATGGAACATCTGCTCCACGGATATTACGCTCATTGAACAGATCTGGAGCCACTTGCCTGAGAACAACTCCTCCCTGCTCCTATTTTAGAAAATACTAGATGCTGCAGAAGATTAAACTTTTTTTTTTTTTTTTTTAAATTAGCTGATGCTTTGTGAAAGATATCCCAAAAACTGATATTACCCCACTCCCACTAGGACAAACACACTTTGTACTCAGCAAACAAACTATAGAACATTTCATATCTTCCTTTACAGCAGTGACTCACACAGTGACACAGTGTTTGTATCCCGATCTCAGAAAGCAGGTACAGCACCACACCAGACAGATCATTTACAGGAGGACATAAGGAAAATGAAACATAAAACCCTATTGAATAGAACAGGTAATAGGTGGACGTTAGTCAAGGTCTTACCGTGAAGGTTTTTTTTGCTCTTATCAAATCCCTGGTAGGATTCTCTTGGGTTTGTATTGAATCCTTTGACGGAGATTCCCACAGGGCTACAGCCTGCTCGAACAATACTCTCTCTTGTCTGTTCTCAGGAGCCAGATAGGTGTTGCAAGAGTTTCAGCTGGGCTGACCACGCCCCTTTAACCACCCCCTCCCTCCCCTGACATCACTGACACCTCACACTGCCTTCAAGGCTTTAACCATAGACTGTATATAAAGAGGCTTTAACCTGCTCTGCACTCTCCCTCTCTTCCTCTCACACACACACACACACAGCTCACATCCTTTTTAGCCAGACCAGATCAGCAGGTTGTTTACAACTATTTGCTCTTTGATTTCCGTCACTCACAGACATTGGTGTTGGTCATCAAACTTAAACTTAAACTTCCTTTATTGATCCCACAAGGGGACTCATGTTTTTTCATTTTGCATGCATTAACCCACAATCCCACACACACAGGGCTCAAAGACATGCATATTTTGGAGAGAGATGGTAGAGTGATGGGCAGCCCCCAGGAAAAGCGCCCTATGAGCAATTGGGGGGTACGGTGCCTTGCTCAAGGGCACCTCAGCAGTGCCCAGGAGGTGGACTGGCACCTCTCCAGCTACCAGTCCACCTTCCATGCTTATGGTCCATGCTGGACTTGAACCGGCCACCCTTCGGTTCCCAAGCCAAATCCTTATGGACTGAGCTACTGCTGCCTATACAGACTTTGAATATTTCGCTTAAATCTGGGAAGTTCTCTGCGTTTCATGTTCTAAATACCACACAAAGCACTGTTGTGTAGCTGAATTCACTATGACCACCACCGCCCCCTCGGGCAAACATGAATCTGTCAATGTGGTCTAATCATTAATAGCAAGGGCCTCTAACCAGGTAGAAAACCTGTGATATATCTTTCTAATAATAGCTAAAAAGCCTGATAAACCAGAGGAAATCTCATTTTGCATTGATTAAAATGCAGATTTAACACTTCTCTACTATACTGCTATTGTTCTTGATCACACTGCTGTAGCCCATCAAAACAAATCCACAGGTTTCTAGTATAAAAATACAGTTTTTTGGTGTGGGCATGATGGAGCACTCCACGTACTGTTTGTACCAATATGGCACTCATTATCAATTACACAGTCTGTCTGCCAGTGAAACAAACAGCACGGTATTTAATGAACAATGGGAACCAGCCAACAGGACGCATCCAAAACCTCATCCCATTGTGGAGGGAACCCCACACCAATTCACCCAGTTGCTATCACTTAGCACCTTTTACATTGTAACAAAAGATAACAAGGGCCGAGGCAATAAACACTTCCACTGGATCATGCCTCCTGTTAGAGAAACTCCACACCTGAGTGCTAGCACACAGATGAAACTAAGACATGGAGACAAAATATGTCAAGGATGTGACACACCTCAAACTCAGCAATCACAAGACTGCAAGGAGTCAACCAATCCGGAAAAACCATTCTGCACACAAGCACGTTGACATACTCTGCACTCACTTCATACAACTCAGAGGTAGAGAAAACTATATTTTCATTTCCTTAAAACCACCCACCTAACAGTGCAAAGCTGATTTGAATGAATACACAGAATGTCTGTATCTTCAGTATTAACATCTTGTCTTGTTTTTGCCAAATGTCTCATTACAAGTGGAAGTTTGCCAGAAATGCCTGTGGTTTTCAGATGGGAGCAGGGTGTTCAGATCCAGCTCACACCGACAACTCAAGGTCCCCTACAGCCATGAGTCCACAGGAACAAACATGGAAGAAAATGTGTCAAAGACTCTGACTCAGACGCCCGTACAGAAAAAGATCTGCCCCACCCTTGACGTAACATACCGGCACTGGCTGATTAGCAACACTGTACGTTTCCGCGCCATGACACATGGCTTAAAGTTGGAAAGACATGATAACAGGAAAACAGCTGAAGGAACTGTATGCTATTTTGATCTATGATAGAGTGAGTTTAATTAAAAGATAAGTGACCAGGGGGAGGATTTGTTCAGTTTCCATTTAAACTTATTTTTTCACAAAGAAACTTTATTATCCTTTCGGGTCTTATATCATGTTGTTATTACCCCAAAGCAGACACTGTCACCCACAATCAACTGAAAATGTATTTTGGTTCTGCTGGCTCATCATATATGAGGACCAGCATGTGGTCTTACAGTGTTACTGTTTCCTGCTGGGAGAGCCCCAGTGACACAGAGACAGAAAGTTTCCCAGTTTAATTCAAAGAATTAAGTGTTGAATTGCCATCTGCTTGGTCCCATTGTTTGACCTGGGAACCCAGCTGCAGTCACATTTCCAATAGTTTGTAATAAGCAAATCTTCTTCTCTAAATACAACACTTCTTTAACATCTCTTTCCTTAGTCCCCTCTGGATCTGTGTAATATATGATTGGTCCCTATTATGTTAAGATCACATATATACACTGTGTCTATACATAATGGTAATGACGGGTTAATTACATGACCATAAATGGCACTTCTCTCACACACAGTGGAGTTTTTTCTGTTTCAGGATATTCAATGAGTGATAAAACTGGTATGCATGCAGAGAGATAATATGATGCTATGCTACTGTGGTTACTTTAAACAAACATTGTTAAACATATCTTTGTATATTACTTTTATCTGTATAACATATACTGATTATAATGTCCCATATGTACACCCCTATATATAGATATATGTCATTGACTTACATTCATTACCTGGAAACTTACTTTACCCATAACTAGTACTTGCCTAAACCTAACCCTCACAATAACCTAACCTACATTGAAGCATGTCTTTACCTTAATTTTTAAGTGATTTGCTTAATGTCCCCAGGAGAAAGACAAGCTCCATAACATGACTTTGTAAAAAGATTTAGGACTCAACATGAATATCTAGACCAGACACACACAGCGGTATGCTGAGAGGGGTTGCAGAGGGAAGGGAGGGATGGGCTGAATGCAGGGACTATGAACTAAGACTGGAAACATCATCAATATTTACCAGATACAGAGGACTCCCTCCAAGGCAAAGGGAAAGTATCTACACACTTCCAGTTATCAGCAAGAGTGACAAAAAGGTCATTTAGAAAGGCAACATTTTTTCCCACAGCAGGACGCTCTTTTCAGGTTCCCATGTGGCAACCCCCCTTGTGTGGAGGAGTTGGGGAAGGCAGAGTCTAGTTTTATTGAATCCCAACACCTTCATTGCTTTCTCCCAACTCCAAACACGCATCCACTCACCCACCCAGCTGGCAGATTGCCAACCCAAGTCCCTGAGGCCCACAGCTTCCCACAGAGCGCCATAATTACACCTTCCACTACGAGGACCGGGCAGAGACACACTGTGGCTGTGCCCATTAATGCCTCTGTATTCACTATAACAGCACACCCTGCTATGTCAACAGGTTCCTGCCTTACAACACCAGCTATGACGAGTTTAATGAAAAAGGTTGGGGAGAAATCCACACTTGGGTCACTACTAAATAACACCTATCCAAAAAAGAAGACAGTAATCACAGACACAAGTGCACAAGCAGAAATACTGGCTCAGGACCAGTACATCTTTGTGTACAGTGAACATGTTACAATGTCAGATGTATATCAAACATGGCCAAAGTTTCATGTAGTTAGACGTATGTACAACTATTCCTTGAGCCGAAAGCTCAGATGTCCGACTGCAATTAGAGTTTTCTACTTGCTTTTATGTTTTATACACTTTTTCTGAGCCTCACTTCTCCATTTATGTTTGACTTCTTCTTTCCTTAGAATTTTTTAATCACGTCACTGTTAATTTATTTGTTCTGTAACAACATCTAACATCTACTTCTGTCAGGCCTGGGAGAGGGATCCCTCACTTGTGACTCTCAATTCTTTTTTCTCACCCTAGTAGAATATGGGCTACACAAATAAACTTTCACTTTATGTGTGCATTTTCTCTCCAAATGTGTTAGCCGTGTTTTTTATAATACCTAACATTCAATTCAATTGTTGCTAATATTGGTTTGTTACTGTATTTGCTGTGAAACATTCAGCCTTGACTGCACACAGCACATACTGTACTGATACTCCAAAGTATTTTCCCATCTGTGTCCTTCTTTCTCCTGACCAGCATGGGAAACAGGGTCCTAATTACAGCTATTTACTGTTTGGGTGGATCATTAACCAGCTAACAAAAAGCATGGGGCTGAAAAGTGGTAAGTTATGTATTTCAATAGAGTTTAACACAGGGGTGCGAACTCATCAGAGGTGAAAAAGGAGACAAAGATGTTATCAGTGAGCTTGACATTTGCTTTTTTTAGATATAATTAGGCTACTGTGATAAGTAATTAACTTAACTCCATGATAAGGATCACAGGTCAGTTTGAGCTACATGTCTACACTGTTGTCTCGTGAATTAAATTCATGTTCCCAAACCAATAAAATTGGGATTTCAGTAGGAACTAAGTTTTCATCACTCAAGAAATACATCCACAAAAAAGTTAAAAACTAGTAACTTCAGAAAAAACTAGTTAGTTAAACTAGTTAAACACACACACACACACACACACACACACACACACACNACACACACACACACACACACACACACACACACACACACACACACATACACACAGACGGTAGTCCCAGAGGGCTTTATGTGTACATTATATCAAACCCTGTATCCTTAGATATTTGACACGGATGTAGAAAAACATTATAAGAAGATAAGAAATATGTCTCAAGCAGTATACGTGCTTTGAAATAACAACACTGCAAATTAAAACTAAGTTAGTTGATGAAAAAAAGGGCAGCTGTAAAAAGAGGTCAGTCTACCTTTCTCGGTTTCAGCTTATCCTGCAAATCGTACTGGCCAATGCCTTTGTAGCTGACTCCCAGCCACCACGGTAGTCCTTGCTTATCCTGCATGAAAACATGAACATACACACACACACACCAACGCTCATTAGAGGAGTAAGAGCTGGCTTTATTGGTGGGAGTAAAATAACAAAAAACAATAAACAGAGGCCTGTTACTGAGGCAATTACCCCATTAGGTGCACAGCAAAGAAGAGATCAGATACATTTAAGGCCTTAAAATCTCTGAGCCTGACTGAGTCATTTCAACATCACTGTTTGATCTCCTCAGACACCTTGATTTAATAGGGTTTGGTAGAGAGAGTGAGCAAAAGAAATCATGCTGAACTTAACATTTGCAGTAATGATTGAGTGCACTCCTTATCCCACCCAGGCAGACTCAGAACCTTTGAACAGGTCTGTATATTTCTACAGTAACATATATGTGTGGCTGTTTTAGCTACAAGACATATTTTAAATGTCTCATGAAAAATCTTCAAGCAAATGGTTTAAAAATAAGAGAATAAAGGTGATATTAACAAATCATTAAATGCAGAAAAAGAGATGAAGACAAGATATTGATAGAATAATCAGGGTCCCACAGTTACCTTCACTGGGTAATAATGGACTCCGTATGTCGGCAAGGACTCCACCAGGGCAAGATACCTTCAGAGGAAGAGGAAGAATTTAACAGAAATCCAGCCACTGACACTTCATCACTGTCAACCACTGGCTCTTGTAAAACACACAGAGTGGGATTTAAGCTACAGTGAATGAGAAGCCACAGTCATTTGCAGTGGCAAGTTGATCGATTTGTTTCAGGGCTGTGACAGAGCGAGAGAGAGAGTCTATTGATCAGTTCAAGGACACAAATCATCCCAGTGCAAATGACCCAGGGATGCACTGAAATACAGTCCCGGGAAAAATACAGAGGAGGACTGTGATCCTCCTCATGCTGGCCGGCTGCCTAAACTAAGAGCACCTCCTCTAATTAATGACACATTCTGGCATGGTGACAGCAGCCACCTCTTATAACAACAGCCACCACAGAGCAGGCACACGAGGTTAAAGCGGAAGGCCTGGTGTAGAGAACTGTGGAATCAGAGGCAGTAATGTCTAATGGAGGGAACATTTTGAAAACCATTAAAATAGTGTATTTATATTTCACTACTTACTGCACAACTGCTTGTCCTCTGGTCAGTCCCTTCAATTTCCTGTAATGTTCAATCACTTTGTCCTCACTGCAAATAAACAAATACAACTTTAAATGAATAATCCATCAAGTGTTACACATTCCAGCCAAATAGGGATTGTTGTGAGAGGGCCCCTTCTTTGATACACATTGTGTCTGCTCATGCAGAAAATGCAGTCTGGCCTACTGGCCTGTTGATGGCTCTCATCCTCCTCTCCTGCAGATGCATCCCATTTACTTGCCACTGTAATCATCACTTTTAATTGCATAGCTCAGCTGCAAACTCACAACAGGAAGAAAGAGACAGAGAGAGAGAGAGAGAGAGAAAGATAGAAAGAGACATGGTGGCATATGTCCTCACTCATGCACCGTAAAACTGTAATCTTAATTTGGATATTAAACACAATGCAGCTGCTTCAGAAGCTGCAGCAACCTCAGACGATTATCAAAGCAGAGGAGGAGGGGCAGGCAGAGGAGAAAAAACAGCAGTGTGGAGGAGAGAAACAGACAGACAGCAATCCTTCACACAGTCAGTGTCTGTCAGCACCTTCCTGTGCACTCTCAGGGCTAATGGGCAAACTTAATTAACAAAACCCAGGCATTAATTAGTCACCTCATTAGAGGCAAAACCTGTCTGCCAAGCACAAGGCAGGACTCCACCATACTGCCCAAAACTGCTCTTCTGGGTTACATACCACTCTGTACAACCAGGTTTTACTGAGCATTGAGGAAATCTGGCAGCAGAATTGTAAGTGTATTTATAGAAAAGGGTGTTTCTTCTCTCAAACCACCCACAACGTCAGATATCTTACCAAAAATTGAGAGATGGGTGCTCCCTTAAAACTCTTGTTGGCAGAACTGGGAGCTGCTTCAGGTCTGATCTGGCAGTATCAGCACTAGAAAAAAATCATACACAAGATTACAAACAGCAAATACAGTCATTCACAATAAGAAAAAAAGAGACAGTTTGATCTGGGAACAGATTTAGCTTGCTATCACTCTTTACCCAGAGGAGCTGTACTGTATGTGTGAATGCCAGGGTTTCTCATTAATTACCTAGACTTTGGCAGCCCATAATGGTCTTATTTGTCCCAATGCTTCCATAACGATCCGATAAAATTTTTACACTTCGCCTACCATAAAAAAGATCTCTTAGGGTTTTTTGCTGTTGCTTCATTGTAGAGTTGTGTAACCCTCTATCTTTCTCTCTCTCACAAACACATTAGCACATCTGTCAGAGTCTAACCTTCCACATCTGTGGGATTTCCGTGAATCCATAAACTTTTTATCCTCCTCAGCAGGCATGCGTCAGTCAGCATAAAATCAGTAGTTTCCACTTTAGCTATATGCGTGTTATAGCCATGGGCAGGCTGGTCACAGACTAACAACTATCTGTACCTGTCATGTACGTTTGCATGAGAGCGTACTGTGTGCATGTTCACAGCAATCAATCCTCATAAACCTGAACCTTCCCCAGCTACCTCCACAAATTGAATCTCATTATGTGGTTGACTTTATGTCCAAAGAAGTTGAACAGGTAATGAAACAGATATTCACCCTACAAGCTCACCAGCAAAAGTCAGTGTAACATAACTTTTCTATAATTTAACTTCCGAACTGTATGAGCGTGGTCTTTCAGTTTATGACTAGGACTGTTTATTTTACTATTAGATTTCACTTGAAGCCCTGCGCTCACACTCAAAGAGCCCCCGCTAATGCTTAGATTTGCTTAGTGCCACTGAACTCACTTCACAGTTTTCTGTTGTTTGGATTAAGAGACCTTATATAGCGATAGAAAATTACATACTAGTGTGTGTCTAAAATGAATGTTCCATACCAGCATGTGGACCATAAGGAAAGTAAAGGTAAATGTTTACACAAAAGCTCAACCCAAGGTTGAAAAATATGCAGAGAACAGTTCTCCATGTTTTTAGTACCTTCACAGTGTGGTTTGAATTCAGTCATGGCAGCCATAACTCATATTTGCAAACCTTTAGAGAAGGCGTAGTGTCAGGATATTGTTTTCGTCTCTCTTATCTATAAAGAGTAATGCTGCTTGCCAAGACTAAACTCGAGCTTCACTTATGTCTTGCCAGAATTCATTTATAAAAGCAGGGGAAGGCCCTTAACTTACAGAAAGTTTCTTAAAATCTATTCAATAATATGAAAGCCATTCCATGCAGCTGAACAGCACATATCAGTTATCTTTTGTACTGTAGATAAAATGCAGTATACTGATTCATCTCCACAGCACAGCCAGTGATCAAACCATGACAGATGCAGCAGGTACCGTTCTATTACACACAGACTTCAATAGTCACAATAAACACAGCAACTGACCATGCTATCTGTACAGAAAAACTGTGGTGTTTGTCACTGTCAAGGTCTATGACAGTGACCTATGAATCATTCCAGCATCATGTAGGAGGGAGAACAGAGTTTTCAGTTTCTACTGGACAAAAAGAGCTCTGGCTTGCTGGGCCAGTTCACTAGAGACCTGAACAAAAGCCATTCACAAGCACTTGGCAGCCTCTGCCCGTGTTGAAAAGTACTGTACAAAACCCACGGCTGTTAGAAATTACTCAGACACAACTCAGATGTGCAGGTCAGACCCAATGTAGTATTAAAGCAATTAGAACATCTGCAATTAGTGTACCAGCTAAGTCATTGACAGTATCCTCAACATAAGAAAATAAATTATAATCCAATTTTAGGTCAAAAGCCATTTGACCTTATGTTGCCTTTTATGAACCTCAATTTAACTCTAATGGAATTTCAATGCTGCTACATCGTAGTACAAAAGCATAATGATCCAGTTACGTGAAACAGCTTACTAAACAAAAAACAAAGGTGAGCCACCGCCACCACAAGGGCAGAGGCACTTGAATCACTCTCCCCCGTAGCTACCTCTCCGAGCTTGACTGGGTTTTGCTGCCATGGCACCTCGCTGTGTGTTTGATGGCATACATTTTATAGGGAGCCAGGGCCTGGTGCTGTCGGGGTGATCTACTTTGCAGCCGTACTGCCCCGTCAGCAATCTGGAATTCATTATAACGTCTGTTATCTCCCAGCAGCCTGCAGCGTGGGGCAAATCCAACACCCAGTACAGCCCAGCCCAACACGGCCTACTCAGTGTGGGAGAGATAATACTCATGTGTCAGCTATTCCACAGGGCCGAGACGTGGTGACTATGGGGGGAGCAAAATGAGAGAGCCTGTTGCTGTGAATGAACCACTAACTAGAGGCTACACCTGCAAATAGAACTGAAGTCTAAAACTGTCTGGGTGTAATATTGGATTCTTGTGGACACGATTAGAACGCATATGTGTAAATCAAAATTAATTTAAAATTACAACCTGTAACAGCCAAAACATTTGAAGCTTATCGCTGAAGCTGTTGACAACTGAAGAAGAAGGAAAAAAAATCCCCACTCAGTTACTCTTAAAACAGATCTTTAAAGACATAATTTAGGTGATTTCCCTTTTATCAACAACTTAAGAGAACTTGGCTGTTAGTTATACCTGCAGGTGACGAGAACAACAGCAATAGTGTGTGAATCAGTACAGTAAGAGCAAGATGCAATGTGAACAAAGCAAAGGGAATTCACTCCAAGTACAATGTGAAACCTGATGGTGCATTAATTCAATGCACAGCAGGGGGTTGGCCCGCACTACCACAATAACACGACTGCAGCGAGTCCTCCCGACGCCAAGTTGTCTACCATTGGACAGTGTGTCTGGCTCATCCTTCTTAAGGAGGAGGAGGTCTCTCCTAACTCCTCAACAGCTAATCTCACTACTCCACAGCCCTTTGGCGATACAGTATAGAGGAGACACATTTATATTGGATGGGTGTAGGAGGGGACTCTCTAAAAGAAGAAGAAATAAAGGACATCATTCAAAGGAATGATGAAATGCTGCCACAGGACAGCAGGGGATGCACCAGTACAAAATCCTGGAGCCAGACATTTGAGGATAATGCCATTTTCTACACATTCCTCAAAAGTAGAGAAAACACATTTCTCAATAGTTGTAGTCAACTGACACTATACAAATGCTACAAGTGTCCTGCAACATATTAGAAACCATTATTAGAGACAAAAGGGGGAAAATAGTATCTGTGCAACTAAGAAAAAAGTTTTGGACACACACCCATTCATCCTGATTTGACCAGATTTGTTGGCAGGTTGACTCTTATTGTGCTTTCAGAGTCAAGACAAAGTACGGCCCATCCCCACACCCACATGAATTGCACTACACTTCATGGTGAAGTAATTTGAACACTTGAGGTATATATCTGTACTAAAGCTGTAATAGATGATAATTAACATGTATCAGGTCAATGGTGCAGGGCAGTTAATGAGTACACGCAGACACAGCCAAGTTTTGCTTTCACTTTTTTTGCAAGAGAACAAAAGCGTCAGATGACAAGAGGTATTGCATATTTCACAATTCAAACTATACACACACAATTCCTTACAGAGCACATATCTTTGTATTCACATAATGGCTAGAGAGAGGGGCCTTTAGAGGCAAAGCACAGGGATAACACACAGGTTGTTCTGCTTCAACCTGCTCACCCACTCACTCCAACAAGTAGTGCTAACCAATGGCAGCCCTTCACTCCTATGGCTATTATAAAAAACAACATACCTTACCAGCAGGTCAAGCCTCTGAGAGCAAGGTCCACTACAAAAACATTATCTTCTCTATTGAAAAGATTATGGAGCTTTAGTGCAGAATCTCCCATCAGCGTCAGTGACCAGATTGTGTAGTATTTCCTGTTATATGGGCTGTTTGTGTGAAGTGGTGTGACATTTATTTAGAGATAACACAATCACTACATTAGTGAAAGGACGGCCTCTGTAAAGTTTTGAGTTTTAAACTGTGAATACGCTGTCTGCCTTCCCTAGCAAGTATGTGACAAAAGAACAAGTGTTCTGATTTTAAACACAACCTTTAAACCTAGTGGATGGCACCAAGCCAGCAGGGATTCAGTTCAATGTCACAAGAGCAAAATAAAAAAGGAAATTATTAACTGAGAGAAGTCCAGTGTAAAATAAATTCTGAGCCTGATAAGTTGAGCATTAACTGGCTGTACACAGTGAATATTTACTCAGTGAGCACTGACCAAACAGCAAGACAAGTCTAACTCTGCTTTCTTGTTGGAGTAAAGCGACCGACAATTTGTAGATTGGGTACTGAACATGCAACCCACTAAAACGTCATTCTTAATAGCAAAAATATTAAGATATGCTGGTGCATGTCACTTTAAAGAACAAAAAATGTGTGTGTATACTCTCCCCATCAAAAAATCATCTGCAAATTCAAGCTGTTTTAAATTATGTGTTGATGCTGTAGTGTAAGTGAAAGGACAAAACATTGCCCCCCCCCCCAGCTCAAAATTATGCTGTGACTTAATAAAATAAATAAAAAATCTTCCTGAAGTGAAAAGGAACCTTTAGAAGGTGTATTGTGCATTTAACTGCAGAATCTAGTTCATAAACATTGTTTATGCATGTTTCTGTATACAATCATAGCAGACATATAAAAATAAGCTAGTCCATGTAACTTTAAAGAAGACAAAAACATTGTATGTACAGATTCTCATCAGCTAAAAATGATTCTGCAACTCAAAATGTGTTGGAAATAAAGTCACCTTGATGTGACAAAGATTGTGTAGTGTGCACTTAACTCAAGAATCTAGTTGATTTAAATGTTTTGTATAACAATACTGCAAAAACATCAAGATATGTAACGTGTGTAAGAAGCTTTTACTCAGCTAAACTCGATCCTATAACTTAAAATGTGTTTTAGATGAATCGTTGTTCTTTAATTCATTACAATGACTTTAAGGCTTTAATAAAAATCATCTCTTACCTGGTGAAACCTCCTTTAGCCTCCTGAAAGGGAGAAAATGATGCAGTTGGTAAAAACAAACACAAATGGACTAAGCATGCTAATGTAGCTATCTGCACAAAGTTACAGGATTAAACACAGTTGATTTGACCCCGTGTTAATTTGCAGCACTGCTTTGAAGCACAAGCTGACTGTTAGAGGACAACATGAATAATAAAGGCTCACATACATACAATGGCTGCGAGTAACCCCCCCCCCAGAGACGCCTGTTTTCAAATGTTGCGTGTCCCGGACCGTCTTCACTCACGTTGGGGCTGAGAGGAGACATTACAGAGTGGAAAGCCTGCGACAGAAACTCTTTCTTACCTGCAATGCGAATGCGGCTAACTTGAAAACATTCCCACTCTCCACCTCGATGGTCTCCTGTGGTGGGAAAGGGTGAATGAGCGTGATTTCTCCAGAGGAACTCCACAGACACTCACACACACACTCACACACTCAGTCTCCGGGCTGACTGAGCCGCAGACCGAACACTTGACTTCAGAGATCCTCGTACCTCGGCCCCACCGTTACCGACTCAACCACCGTCGCTCACCCGACACACTGTTTCCAACTCACCGCGACGTGATTCTGACGGGGATTTCCAGCCGCGCAGTTATCGTCACGGTTAAAAAACGGTAAAAGCAATCCACGGCGGTGCGTGGGAAGGCGAGCTGGGGGTCCCGCGGGAGGTGACAGCCCCTCTCTGGGTGAAGTGGTACGGTCCGACAGCAGGTTCAACAGTCTCCGTCTCCCAGGGCGACCAGTCTGCTCCCCGCGCGAAAAAAACCCCACCGCAACGTTTGATCACGTGCTGCGTTCACTGCTCCTCGTACATTCCCCTGTCCTCATTTAGCACCTATCTGCCCACTGCAGTAATATGCAGTAATATGCTTTTATGTGTATTTTCCATTTTCCAGCCAAGCGTAAAAAAACACCACTCACACATTCATAATGGTCAACATACGATCGATACCATGCAAATATTTATTTGACAACGTGTGGGTAGTTGATGCTTTACTTACGCGATGTAAATACACAACAAACCACATTATGCAAAATCCATTCATAAACTTCAAGTCAGTGTCTATAGTATTTTACCAAACTGTGATTGCAGGACACTGAGTCGTTTGCATTATGTTGTAGAATTCCCAACAGTGAAAGCAGCATTCTGAAAGTGTGTGCTCATAAAAAAAAGTTTTTCACATGTAAATATTGTAAGTAGTAGATATTATTCAGAATTGAAGAAATGTAGAAACGCATTTCACCACAATTTAAGGCATATCATGAATAAAATGTTATAAATGTATGAATGTAGAATGAATAAGATAATAGAGGATGTATGAAAATAACTGCAGATTTAGGAAATATACTTGTGTGATATGTGCTACAACAATGCCCATTCAAAGATTGTTTTGGAAAGTCTTGCATAACATCAACTACAAAGTTACAGACCGTGTGAATCTTATATGGTCAACAACATGCATGCAACATATTGATCATCATGTGACCATCTGAAGCTGATCAATAGTTGGACTGTGCGTCTGCTCATAAGGAAATCAATGAATGTGTGCAATGATCTGGAGCTAGAGGAAAAGCCACATTTGCTTTATGAGATTCCAAAAGAAAAATATGAGACATGCTTTTAGAAAATAAATGCTAAAAACACACTTACGTTAAACACTAAAGATTTTGCGTTCAGGAAGAAGAGCTCCACTGTGGTGTTCTCTTTCAAGAAGGTGATCTTCTCGATGTAAAACCTGTGGAGAGTTTAACAGAACGGTTCACTTGGAATGTGATGTCAATGCATTTTGTATTTTTATTTCAGCAGCAGTATCAGCAGACTTCATCATGTGAAGCATGGCAGTCACACAGCAGGACTTTAAACCATCAGTGCCACCTGCTGGCCAGGACAAGCCATGAAACTCTTGACACAACAAGATAGCTTCTATCATTTAATCATTCAGACCACAGTTTTACATGTAAAACAAGAGTTTCGATATTATAGACTGATGTGCATGAAGGAAGCACACCAGTGTTCAAGATCTGGAAAGCTTTAACAGCAAGAGCACTTACCTCACGAGAAACCTGAGCTCCAAAGGCCCTGAAGTCTTGGAGAAGTCATGATCAAGGACTTTACGATCCAGCTGGAGCCAGTTATTCTGGCCACTGTGCAGGAATAAACAAATAAATCACAAGTTGAAATGTAATTTTGATATTATACTGCTGTCTCAATTTCTTTCTCTTCTTTTCTCTCCTCTCAAAAGGCTTTTCTCTCCTTCTGTTTGGATGATTGGTTCTAAATCAACAAATCATCTTACTTAAAGGTTCAGTGTGTAGCATTGAGTGACATCTAGAGGTAAAGTTGCATGTTGCAGCTGAATACTCCTCACCTCACCCTCTCCTTCCAAACATGAAGGAGAACCTGTGGTTACTTCAGTTGTCATAAAAACTCAAAAGGTTTCAGTTTGTCCAGTTTGGACGACAGTAAAAAACATGGCAGCCTCCACAGAGAGGACCCAGGATACAAAGGGCCCATTCTATGGTAAAGAAAACAACAATTCATACAATTTAGATGAAACACACCAGTGAAAACATCACTAGGATTATTTTATAATCAGTTATATATATTCCAAAAATCCCTCTCACCTAAATCTTACACACTGAACCTTTAAGATAAAATGTGATACAGTAACACTCACACCCATGCTACCAAGACATGTTTTGGTCTTCAATATGTGTTCTATATTAGGAAATGCACTTACGTATCATCTATGAAGCACAATCCAAAATATTCTTTCTCCTTCAGGTTAAAGTGCGACGACACCAGATCTAACAGCTCTCGGGACAACAGCTTGGGCTGTAGAGTTTAGCGAGACACAGGAGATTGGAGTTGAGATCACTTGTGTAGAAAATGAAACGTACTGTGCTCGAAACACAGATAAAGAAGGAGGAACAGAAACAGACAAACTACCTGCACCAGCAGCTCCAGATTCCTGTCGTCAAGGAGTTGAACCTGGCAAAGACGTCCTTCGGTCATCTAGAGAAAAAAACACCACACGAGACGTCAGCTGCTGACAAAGTAAGAGTACACAGTCTCCACCTCTACCTGTGCCTCCCCACACGCACAGCCTTCCTTCCACTGTTTTAGCCCCCGGGATAAAATGGCTGCATCTTTGGAATGACTCACCTCAGTGTCATGTTTGACTTTGTACTGAATGAATAGGTAAAGAGAGCCCACCAGGCAGATGTCCATGTGGGAGCCATGTCCCAAAACATCAAAGCAATTGAAAGATGATTTGCTTATTCCTTATTTAGTGCATATTAGAAAAAGTGGAGCAGAGTCATAAATCAGCTGTGATTTACACCATGTGCTGCATGAATCATAAACCAAGAGTCTCGGGTTCTTTTGTCCCATTCACACACGTTGTCTTTTTCACTCTTCCATATCCTTCCTCTGCATCAACACTGGTCTGTTGAAAATCCCTGAGATGTCATCATCACCCTTCGTCTTCCTCTCCAGCACAGTAATCAAACTGAAGGACAATGAAGTGCTGCTGCATAATTGAATTGAATTTCCATTCCATTGTTTAAGATGAATAGTTTTAAGAGTCAATCTGTTGCAGTCAGCAGAACTGCCTTTCACACAGGACAAGGTAGGAATATTATTGTGTGGTGATGAACAATACCCAAACCATATTTCAGCGTGTTAAGCTGTATGCCAACATTCAGGCCAACATTCAGTTACTATAAAACACATTTGATTCCTTGTACAGATTCTGATGACAGTTAAATACTCTGTTAAATAAAGAATCAATCATTAATTATCAATTAAATGGTTATAATTCCTGCCCACTAGAAGACTCAGTGGAAGACAGAATGCAGACAAACAAATATCGGTTGATACGAAGCCGTCACAAACATTGGAATTGATGTTTACTTAAATATGTCGATATGCAAACTTTTACTCAACAGAATAAATGATGCAGAAAAGATGTGCATCAATGTTTACCTTTCACTTTATTTTTAATTTTTTTTCTGTATTATTTTCAAGTTCTGAAAATATATGGTTTTATTTTAGTTTTCTTTTTATGTGTGGTTATTTATATAAAGCTTATGGTTGAACTGTAAAATAACAGACAATAAACAATGCAGCTGAACAGCCCAGAGTGGGTTGAAACCCCAAATAAAACTAATTACAGATTGTCAGATTGTTGTTTTAGTTTCCTAAAAACAAAAATGTACATCATGTTTGTCAGAATAACTAGACAATCACATTAGAATCTCATAAAAAGTGTCTTTAATGTGTTAAAATATGACTTTTGGTGCTTTGGTTTTGAGCACAAAGTCAGAAAATGGGGTCGCTGTCACTCCATTAGAAAGCTTCTTCTTTATTCTATTACTGTGTTGTTCATATGACTGAAGTAACGACATTATCTGACTACTGTTAAATTGCAGAAACACGAGGCAGATCCTCATTGGCAGGAGTGTGTGTTAGTGTTTACTTGATGCTTTTTGCTGCTCAGGAATGTGTCCCTGCATGGGCGCCTTTCATTCTCTGCGACTTCAATGAAAAACATGTGGTATCCAACTGTTTGGCCTCTGTGCTGGAAAAGTGAGGGTCATGTTGACGTCCAGCGTGACCGCAGGGCGAGAAGACTCTCTCCGGCACGGCATTTAACTTCAGGACACATTGTCCTTTGCGCCACAACAGAGCCTTCATTTCACTTTTATATTGTACAAGCTGCTTTTACACTGTTGTTTTTCCAACTCCCTGAACCTCAGGGAGATTAACTGCTCTGTGGGCTGTGAGCTCACTCCTCAACAAATGGTTTTATTTGCAGTCACGCTAGTTTGGTAATGTGCTAACTTTTGCTCTGAAACCATGGATATTAACGCTATACCCACTCCTACTGTACATCCAAGTATGATGTGAGTGGCACAGCAGGAACCTTTTATAGCTCCATATCTCAGAGGTCCAGAAGAGGCAAGAAGAAGATAACTAGAGATTGAAAACCACACCTGTAAGTGAAGTGCTTCTGTAGGAAATATGATTTTGGCTATTAATTACATTCAGTATGTCCCAGAGTTTAATCAGGGATTAATAACTATAGTAACCCTTGTATGAATTGTTGTGGCTTGTCCAGGGAACAATCCTTCCCACTGCCAATCAATCAATGCGGCATTGTTGTTAACCACTGACGTCAAAACATGGAGAAATGAACAAAGGCCTTTAGTTTACAGTCTGATTTCAACGATGACTTTTATATTCACCTTTAAAATCTTTCCATCTTTTCTCCTCATGTCAGTACACTACCAGTTTCAACTACATTCACAAACATCTAAACAGCATCCCGTTATGAGCAGATAAAAGTGACAAAGTATTCTGAAGATTTAATAATCCTGACAGAAACTGCTCTCTGTCCACAGCCAGGACCTGAGTGATGTCGCTGAGAGGTCACATCTGTGTCAGGGAGGTCGTCACCCCCCTGCAGCCCTGTCATTATGGGCACGGAGCTCATAATGGCGCACTCTTCACATGACCTTCAGCCACTGACCTGCTCAGGCTGAGCCGGGCCCACCCTGCCGCTTTGATCAGGTCGACAACCACTTCCCCCGTCAACCCGAGGTAAACCACAAGCTATAGGCTGAACAGCAATAAAACACACAGTGCTAGAAACTAGCAAATTACTTAGACTTTAATACTTGACATATTTCATTCATAATTCCTCATACTTCTTAAGTAAATGTTTTATTACTCATTACTTTTCAAATCAAGACTTTTATCAAAAAAATATGATCATTTTATATAGAAAAAAAATAACTGAAGAGTTACAATTAGCTTCCACACCAACCAACAACATTCCTTTTTCCTGATATTCCTATTGTATCAGATACAATTACATAATAACAATACAACACATAGTGGGACAATTTACCATACACTGAAATAAGTTGTTGGACCGATTTCCAAAATTGCATCAATTGGAAGCACACAAATCAATAAAGTTTGTTCAACTGAATGTAACAGGTAATATTCACACAAATTGATGTGGGATAATTACAAAATAAACTTTAAAAAAGCATTTTTGTTTTGCCAATTGAAGTAATTCACCATTTATTTTATTTTCAGTGTAATATGTACTTAACATGTAAATCAGTCTTCATTTTGTTGCTAATACATACTTTGTACTTTGTAAAGCAGCGTTTTCACTTGACTTCTTATAAATAGGCTTGGATACTTAATGTATATTTGATATGTGACTCTGAAGGGAAAAAACAGCAGCTTAAAAATGAAAAGGCTCTGATAGTGAGGAATCAGTAAGAGAGAACACGTGAGCGCCAGGTGTTTTATGCACTAAAAAGGTGTCACAGAGGGAACGCTGCGTCAGCTGATGTGACTCAGAAGACTGTGATCTGAATGAATCTTTACAAATAACTGTTTTGTAAAACATCCTGAACCTTGAAGTAATAAATGCTGACTGACTCATATATCTCATCTGGAGGATAAGGTTCACCCTACAGACAGCACGCAGGTGTTCCAGCAACAATTCATTTCTAAGACCAACTTTGAAAATTCTCCTTTTCGGACCAGACAGTGAGATCAAACAGCCGGTCATGCTGCTTTCTAATGGTTGCCACATGTGCAGGGAGAGAGACCCTTGTTAAAAAACTCAGGCTTTGTGACTCACTAAGAGGCAGCCTGAGCCTCTTCACAGTCGCACAAATAAACATGAGCATACGGAAATGAGCCAAGTGAGAGAAATTACCCACTTGCCTCACAGGGAGCAAAGTTACTGCAAAATTATAGGTAATATAAACCACACACACACAAATTCAACCAAAGAAATCCATCTGCCATCCAGTAATTAGTCGAGAAAGCGATCAATAAAAATCCTAGTTAATTAAAGCATTTATGCTCCTGCTGCTAAAAGAGCTGCCATACCTGGTAGCATTTCCCAATCCTGAACCAGGTTTCTAGGAAGCGTCTGCATGGCATCAGCCCGCGGTTGTACCACCTCCTCAAGGTCTGATGCGCCAGGCCCCAGACGAGCTGGCTGCTCGATGCCACCAGGTCCTCCATTCCACGTATGATGCGCACAGCCATGGCTGAGTGCTCTTTTCTACTGCTACTGATGACACCTCACAGACTCAGAGCCAGGAGACGAGATGATCTGCAGACCACTTTGTTTTGCTTCAGAGCAACAAGCTGAAAGCAGCATCTACACACACACACACAAACGTCTACTATGTCTACCCAGCTGATGTAATGTCAGTGAGAGTCGGCGCTCTGGAGAGGCTGGAGCAGAGCGGCGTGCCTCAGGCTCGGTCCTGGGCCTGGGTCCAAAACACTGCCTCATAGTGTGCACAAGGGGAGGGCAGGACAGAACCACGAGGCCCCTGCTGCAGAGGCTCCAACTCCCCTCCACACAAACACTCTTGTATACAAACACCGAAACAAGCTGCGGCTGGCCACTCAACCTCTAAAGTCAGAAATACACAGCTCTATGACTCACAGTGGTGAAAATGTTTTGTTTGGCAGATATTTTTTCCTCCATTGTAATATAATTTTGCTCCGCTAAGGCAGATAAGTTAATCTTTTATCATTTTTATTATTATTTTAGCAAGTATTGTAATTCCACTGTCTGAAAAATGGGGTGTGGGAATGGTGTGACACTTTGTCTGGGATGTGAGAGCAATTTCCTGAGGAGACCAGACATCTCCTCCCTCTATATTATGCAGGAACACTAAAGATAATTGGTTGTGTTTGTCTGACGGGGCAAAACTAAAAGCGAAACTGCGTGGGAAAACCTTTAAAGAAAGTTTTTGATGTGAAAAAAAAAAACTTAAGTGTGCCTGTGCCTCACAACCAGACGTCTTCCTTTGTACAGCTGCACACACAGGCTGTACACCTGACTCAGATAAACAAAGGAGGAAAAAAGGAAAGCAGAAGAACAGATGAGTGGAGCAGCTCTCAGCAGCTACGTGTTGCAGTTCAGCTGGAAACAATATCACACTGCTTGTTTATGTGACCCTGGTTTCCCAGAATGCTTAAGTGTCCTCAGTCAACACGGCGCAGGTTCATTGAACATGATCAACATAACTGTCTCAGAGCAGAGCAGGAACACTGTGACCTCCACATCTACAGTTATACTAATGATCAAAATAAAAAACAAAGCAGAGTAAATGAGCAATGCTGTTTTCTGCCTCATCTACTGTGACTGATGAGGCCAGTCACTCTAGTTTAAGTATAGAGGATTTTGCACCTCTATGTTTTTATCTATCCATCCATCCATCCATCCATCCAGTCCACCTGAGTTACAAAGATCTGCCTTATTATCAGTCAGGCCTGCGTCAGTCAACGTGTGCAGTTGCATGAATGTGTCTGAAGCATACATGTTGGCAATAATCATGTCATTTACTGCATGTATACAGGCAGTGAACTGGCTTTACTAAGCATGAGCAGCGGCAGGCAGCTGTGAAAATGGGCTTTCATAGAAAATGGGATTATGAGGATGAGGCGTGTGTTAATGTGCATCTTCATTCTGGCACAAAAATATCCACACTGTTTGTAGCACATGAGTTGAGCATCCAGGGATATTGATTGGCCGAAGCCAGGTTCTAGTGTTTCCCTGTGTTTCCAGTTTACATTACTAACCAACAGCTGAATTAAAATTCATATTTATCACATACAAACAAAAGACTTCCTCCAGGAGGTGCTGTGCAGGAAGTGCTGTAAGTGGATAGTATCAGATATCCATTGAAACATGGTCGCAGTTTATTAGATATGTTGAAGGTTAGAATGGATTAGTGTTGTTAACAGAATTCATGTATCCTTATTTCAAGATGCTATGTTTTGAACAGTGGAAAAATGATAAAAAAATATTTTTTCACGACATGGGAAAATAAATAGCAGGCTCTCTGTGGTCAGCAGCCAATTTCTTAATATGCTCTTTAGACAATCACAGCTTCTTGACACATAGTGGAGGTAGTTGGGATAAAATTTAGATAAATAAAAATAATGACACAGTAAATATTACTGTAATGAGTACTATTCGAGGGAGAAAATTCAATTGCTCTCCTGTTGTTTCCATGCGTCCTAACAGGATTACATACTACGGATGTTGTAATCCAGCAATGCATGAACCAGAAGGGTCTATTTCTGGAGGGCAGGATTCATCATCTGAGACCCATTTGGAGGTTTATAGATGCACCGTGACCAGCTTACCATGATAAATATGGACAGGCGTGTGAGGCCATGCACGGCTGTCTGGAATGACAGCGGTCAGGACAGCCAAGCATATGGTGGACACAAGCCGCTGGTGATCACACACATGATCGCCACGTGTATGAAGGAGAGCAGTGTGTTCTGGTCCACGTATTGTTATAGTACACAGGGTACAGGATTACTGAGGCATGCGTGGCACATATTTCAGATGTACAAACACCTTAACTTTCCACTTACTTCAGAAAACAAGTTGCCACTTTTCTTAAAATATTGTACAACAAAACATAAATTACCAATACATTTCTATTCAGAAGCCTACCAGCGTATAACCACTATTTACTACTGAGAACCAGTCAGCAGTGGTTATTTTTCAATGTAAGAGCATGCAGGCATTGTGTCTACTGGGAGCTGCACACATACCGTGCTGCACAGACACACACACACACAC